CACACTTTGCACCGATATCACGTTGCACAAGGTTACACGGCTTTAAATAAGTTCAGTCTGAAGCTGTAATAGAACAAATATTAAATGTATTTTAGCTGGAATTGGTAAATTTGACTCGGGCTGCACAAGTATTCTCTGGTGTACGTTAATGCCTGCAGCCAAATCTCTGGGGCTCCCCGCAAATCACAGGTCAATAATTTGAAACGCCAGCCCTCGACTCCGAGCGATGGGGTGAAGATTGCACCGTTTGCGATGTGCCAATCAACACTGAAATTAAAAAAAATAAATAAATCATTGAATTTAGCAATCCTCTCCGAATGAAAGTATCGACCTGTCCCAATGCGTGTCCCCTTGTTTGAGGAGCTTTTCAAATCGGCTGCAGCGCTCGCCCACGGAAACGCACAGTCACTACGCTTCACCGAAGAAGGAGAAGAAAAAAAAGCTACAACTCTTGAGTGCTTTGAGGTGTTTCGACGTACCAAGGAGCTAGATCAAGCACAAGGATTAGTTGTTGTTATTTTACGCAGACATCCTTCATCACAGCAGCATCTTAGGGCATCGCTGCGCTGGTTTGGCTGTCTTTAGTCCCTCTAAGAGTTTTCACGTGGCAGGCATTTTCAATTAAATAAGAATTAACAAACTACTGATTCATTTGCAACGAGGTAGATTAGTTTTCCCCACTAGGATAATAATAATAATCGTTGCATTTGATATAGCGCTTTTCACGTCTTCTAGACGTCCCAAAGCGCTTCACAGAATACGCTGTAAAGTGAATTGACTGTATATTTGTGGGCGAACGCAGCAGCCAATTGCGCACAGCAATGTCCCACAGACAGTCGTGGATTGAAAATGACCAATTTATTATTGTTTTTTTTGGAGGGATTATTATTAGGCTCTGTGTGGAGTTAGGAAACTTGCCCGAGGTTTCGCCCTCTGCCTGGAATTGAACTCAGGTCTCTCACTTGCAGAGCGAGTGCGCTAACCACTGAGCAACAGGACTCCAGGATCATTGCACACAGCGCAGCTGAGCCCCCCCGACCCCTCTTTATTTTGTGATCCAAACCATTATTTGTAATAAACCAATGCAACAAAATGACAGGGGGGCCGTGTTAAAGCGGAGAAAAGTACCTCCTCAATGAGCATAGTTTTAATCGAACGTTACAGTCAATCTCATCCCGACGACCACCTAATGTAGCGAGACATCTCGGTCTGTAGTGATGCTGTCTTGACGACAAGGGCTCAAAGCTTTTTGACGATCCAGAGCATTTAAAAGACCACCTTCTAAGTTTACTATACAATCTGTGTTCCCATGGTGGCAGTTATTGATAGGTCTCGTTGTGAATCATTGAACCCTCGCCTCCACCCACTCTTAACTCGTAGCGTAAAGCAATCAGCCTTGAGGCACAAACTCAAGAAAAGCAAACCAAACTGTAGCAGGTAACAGTACCACTATATAATGGTGAACTCTTAATGATTTTGCTTAGAAATGTTACAAGAGGGGGGGGGAGAGAGAGAGAAAGATTTATAAACTGCACTTAAAAAAAATTCTTAAATAAATAAGTCAGTTTCAACCTCAAAAGTGTTAACCTTGCAACGATCATCTGTGATAATTATCACATAATTTTTCACTTCAATTTTTTTTTAAAATGTGGAGGCGGTGGTGGAAGAAACTGGACATTAACTTGTTGCATTGCAACTAAATTCTCCACACTCATTCGATTGCTCTCTGAAGAAAAAACTAAAAACACTGAATAAATAAAAAACTAAAAACATTGTGAATAAAATCATTTGAACCCTCAGCTACAAAGAGGGCGACTGTGCAACAATTCTGTGATATTGACGTGCCAAGGCAAGCACAATGATTGATATCATTAGAGCTGTGCGGTTGAGCTTTGCTTTGGACGGTTCGCTGTGCTTCCTGCACGTGGATTACACTCACTGGAAAGTTTAAAGCAATCTGAACCATCGCTGAGGTGCACTCAAAACACCATAACAAAACTCCCAATCACTTCAGCTATGAAAACAAGAATTCCTGAATGAACACGGCCTTTCACATTTTATTTTGTTTTAAGGCTTTTTAAAAACTTAAGGGTTAAAATCTCGATCAAATTCTCAGCGTTTACGAGCACAGTTGTTTGCAGGAGTCACCATTGGAATATCAGCACCACACACCACCTCTGAAGCCTCCTTGGTTACAAGGTTCAGTTTTTTTTTTCCAATTAATTTATTTTTGTTTCGATCACAGATATTGCGGTTGGTTATCAGTGTATTTTATTGTGGGGACTCGGCTGATAACTGAACACTGCAAAAAAAAAATCAAAAAAAAATCTGAAACGTGTAACAAGCAAATGCCAAAATCAATGGTCTCCAACCTTTATGGTCAACCAACAAAATACATTTTTCTTGATTTATGGCATAAATCAACCAATACTCAAAGAAAATGAAAACACACCACTTACCTAGACTCGTGCGAATATTCAGCGGGGAGGGAACAGGGGAAGAAGGGGCACTTCTTGATGGCCTTATGGGCCACGGCCAAGGTTGGCCACCACTGTCTAAATCATCCTCAGGCCATCTTAGTTCACAACACTTGCCTCAGGCCACAAGGTTGTAGGTTCAAGCCTCACGTCAGGACTTGAGTTCACAGGCCAGGCCAACAATACCGTACAGTACTGGAGGGAGCTTCCACTACATCAACAGAGGTGTTATCACTTGGACAAGACATCAAACTAAGGGCTCATTTGGGTGGATTGGGTGACACAACTAGCATTTAGAAAAGAGAAGGGCATTTCTCCCAGAGTCTGAACCAAAAGCGTTCAGATTGGTTCCTCAGCCCACGGCCGTTTGTGAGAATTTTGAGTGCAGAATAGCTGCAACGTTTGCTTTCACGCTCGCACAAGAAAAAAAATCACCCTACCCTGAATATTGTAGAGTGCTTGGAGACGGATGATAAAAATGAGCCATAAAAATGCCAGTTCCGTCGCTGTAAAATTCCACTGGGTGCAGGCTGCTCACAGCCTCTATTTTAAACAACTTGCTGCTACTTTTTGACAAACCCACCGTTTTGTTTTTTTCTGGCTTCAATCAGTTCTCGCTGAGAAGTGGCATGTCGGAACCAGCTGCCAGCCTCGTGCCATTTGGGTGCGCAGAAAAGATGCTAATACAAACCACTTTGATTTAATTAATGTCGTCGAGTCCTGTAGCTTAGTGGTTAGAGCACTCGCCTCGCAAGCGAGAGATCTGGGTTTCATTCCCGGCAGGGCGAAACGTTGGGCAAGTTTCCTTACTCCACACGCCTCGGTTTACCTAGCAGTAAGTAGTCAATTGATGGATCACTTTTCCAGGGGTAATAGTTCTTTCAAAAAAAAAAAATAAATTGTTCACTTCAATCTCTGACTGCCATGGGACACTGCTGTCGCAATTGGCTGCACCCACACAATCCACAGTCAACTCACTTTATTCTATGAAGCTCTTTGAGAAGTCTCAATGACGTGTTAAGGTGTTTTATCAAATGCAAAGATGATGAGGTTATTACTGTACTAGCGTTAACATGTCACCTTCCTCCCTCAATTTCAAAACACTCCCAACTTACCTCTTCAGCCACGCTTTTGGTCAATATCCATGAATCTCCCGTTTCCCTGCTTGGCGTTCTCTTACGTCTGTCAAGCACCACCACAAGTGGTCTTGCACTCTAGAAGTACAAGTTATCGCTTGCTATTTGTTGAAAGTGCGTCCTTTCAATACTGGACTTTAAACCAAGCTGTAGTAAGTAAATATCTGCACAAAATTCATTATCTCACTTACAAAAAGCCCCCCACAAAATACAACTGGTTGCCCATATTGAGGTCAGTTAATCTGCACCGATTTTTTTTTGAGGCTCACAAATTATGTGTCATTCAGTTAAAGAAGTTGAGTGGAACAGTCAAATTCTATCGTGGTTATTGCCAGTGCAATTGGTTCAAGCAATCGAAAAGTCAGTGTTGGCATAACACCTTCGTGTAGACACTGTGCAAACATGCATTTCTCTGGGCATGAATATTAAAATTCAAAACGCAAATTAATCCATTGCACAGAACGTCTCAAAAGGGCTTCACAAAGACAATGGGGGGGGCGCGGAGAAAAAAAAAAGGAAAGTCACTGAGCAGGGAGGAAAAAATTAGTGCTAAACTGGGTGGTGACTTAACCGCCGAGAGGCGAGACTTCAGGGAAAGTCGAGACACGAAATTCAAATTGAGGTTCCTCCAATGCTACAGAGTCGTGGTTGGCACGAGATGGATTAAATTTGCATTTTAAATTTTTTTGGGATATAAAAAGAATTGTGCCCCAAGAATCAAGTTTGCACAGAGACGTCGCACCAGTCAGGATGTAGGTCAGTACTGGAGAAAGACTGGCTTGGGGTTGGGGAGGGAGGGGGGGGGAAGAAGAGAAAAAAAAAGGGGCTGACACCACTAAAATCATTCAAGTTACAACACACGCACACGCTACACGTGAAGCAAGTTTTACTCCACACTGCAGAGTGCTTGTTCTTCCTCTCTCTATGCAAGAAACAAATTTGATCTATATTTCTGCAATGCCGAATAACTCAACGGATTAATTAATACGAATCAACTATGAATGCCTCGGCCCTCGTCGCCAATTGCACACGGCTTGCTAATGAACAGTCTGCAGCCACTGGAGGGCACTCTCACACCAATTACAGTAGTCGACACTTGAGTCAACTGCAAAGTGGAATCCAATTCGAGGATTGGGGGGGGGGGGGGTGGCTGCTCTCCTCTGGTCTTGTTCAACTGTGTTCCATGTAGAACCAGAGGTCCATGCGGCGTTGCTGCAGCAATAGACAACAGCAAATTGCATTTATATAGCGCCCATCTCGCAGGGTAGTGTCCAGGGGGAGGTTGACCGTGAGTGCGATTAAAAGGGAAGGTCTTTCGGTGGGATTGGAAGGTGAGGTGGGAGACACTTAAGACGGTTGAAACACAAGATACCGCTGGCGTGTGATGGCTTGTTTCAGTGTTCCTTTTATTTTCCCGGAAATCGACAGCATGCATCACAGGCTTGGAGCTACACATTTGCATCTCAACAAGAACCGCAAATTCAAACATCACCGTACAAAGACGCCAATGGTGAAATCTAATTTTCCCTGTACTCGAGGGAGGGAAAAGCCAAGCGTCCTGACCAATTTAAGGTGAAGTTCTCTAAAGAATGGGTTTGTTGAGAGAAGAAGAAAAAACTTTTTTTTTTTTGTGTAGTTTACTTGGCACGTGGGTTCCGGAAGTTTCTCCCCGCAAATTTAGCCTTGTCCCCAAGTTCCTCTTCAATCCTGTTGAAAAGATTCAATTAGAGGGGAAAAGACATTAAGAAGAAAGGTAGATTCCACGTAGTCAGCTGGTCATGTAAAGAGATTAATAAGCCCAGTTGATCTCTTCGTTCCAGATTTTCAGAGAATTCCGTGCTCACTATTAAAACTTACATTTTCTACATTTGGTATTTTTGTGCATCTAAACTATCCATTTTCTACATTGAACAAGGACTCCTCTTGGGCCTCGTCAGTTCCATTATTAACTCTGAGCATTTGTCTTGCCCCCATCTCCTGGATCTTATGAATTATAGATCATTCAATTGATTAGCTACTGACCATGTAGGATTCTAGTATTGGAACAAGAGTCCCCACTTGAGTATTTAGATTTTAATAGATTTCCATGGGGGGGGGGGGGGAGAGTTGAAAAGTAGCGTTGATTGCTTACCTCAGGAGCTGGTTGTATTTAGCCAGACGTTCTGATCTACATGGAGCTCCAGTCTTAATCTGAAAGCAAACAAGAAGGATCATCTCAGAGCATTGGTTGGGTGCTGATCACCGTTGAGTTGGATTCTTCTTTGCTCCTAAAAATTAGGACGTCATTGCATTGGGCTCCCAAAGGGTCGGATTATCGAGTGTCCTCAATATAAAAAGTTGTACCTTTCATGTCTCAGATGAATTTCTCGAAGCGCTTCACGAAAATGACTTTGGGGGAAATTGCGAGGAATTTAGCCGAAAGACAAAAGGTCAACGAGATGTACTTTCAGAGTTTTAAATGCAGGGAATCGGAGAAGCAATTCCCAAAGCGTGGGAAAGAATAAAGTCCCAAAGAGTCCCAAAGAATAAACACTTATTCTGCTCCTTTTTATTCTGAGCAATTTAGACGCTATTTCAACCATCAAACCCAAATGAAGTTGAGCACCAATATGCCCGTGAAGAATTTGCAATGCACAATCTAGGCAAACATCAGCCACTCACCTGACCAGTGCAAAGGCCAACAACGAGGTCAGCGATGAAGGTATCTTCAGTTTCTCCAGACCTGTGGCTGACCATCACACCCCATCCATTGCTCTGGGCCAATTTGCAGCTGGAAAGTCAAATCATAAGCCATTGTCAGAACAAAGGTTCAGCCTCTGGTCGGTCCCTCTCTTGGTGTAGGAGGTCGACACCAATTGTGGTGTCACTTTGATTAAGTTAGGCAAGTAAAGTCATCCCCAATGGTAGATCAGACCAGAGATTGATCGCATTGCAGTTCATACTGGTTTTCACGAGACGAAAAATTGAGAAAACCATACAACTTACATTTGTATAGAGGCTCTAACATCAGGAGGACGTCCCAAGGCGCTGGAAAGTTAGGGATTTGGACCCGAGCTGAGGGTTGGAATCAGGAGGGGTGGAGTGCAGGGAGGGTAGGGGCAGGAGGGTGACCAACCCAGCCAGTTGATTAGATAGACATTAAACTAATCTCAATATATCTTTGCATCTCCTACCGATGCACTGCTTTCTGATTTAAATAGTGTAGCAATTTATGGAGCAGACAGAACTCTGACAGTCTATTTAATACTTAACATCTAATCTCTCTGGATCATGCCTGAAAGGTTTATTTCCAGCCATGATAGCAATAGAGGTAAAGCAGCCTCACACTATGCATATCTTTAAATTGTAACATAGCCCCCCTTGAGGAACGGTAAGCGAATAGGCTGAGTAAATGATGTCAGTTCAAATATGTAATGGACAATGCATTAACAGCGCTAGAGATCAAAATTTTGCACCGCAAAACTGCAGTTTGATTTAAAAAAACATGTTTAATAATAATACTCGCATTTGATATAGCGCGTTATCACGTCTTCTAGACGTCTCAAAGCGCTTCACAGAATATACTGTAAAGTGAATTGACTGCATGTTTTGTGGACGAAACACGGCAGCCAATTGCGCACAGTAGTGTCCGACAACCAGTGGTGGATTGAAGTGACCAAATTATTATTATGGGCTTAAATGCTTTAGATTGGAGCTGAGGGAGAGACCATCCAATTCCCGCCCCCTCATTAAAATGAAATTAAAAATGGTCTATGTATAAAAGTTGCATCTTACTAGAATACAATATTTCATAATAAATATTTGAAGTTGTAATGGTAAGCACAACTTACAAGGAGCACATGAAGTATATTACATTAGAATATATAGCACAGAAGCAGGCCATTCGGCCCAACTGGTCTATGCCAGTGTTTATGCTCCACATGAGCCTCCTCCTGCCCTTCCTCAACTAAGCCTTCAAGCGTAACCTTCTATTCCTTTCTCCCTCATGTACCTCTCTATCTTCCCCTTAAATACATCTATGCTATTTGCCTCAACAACTCCTTGTGGTAGCAAGTTCCACATTCCCACTACTCGGTGTGCGATGAAATTTCTTCCAGCTTCCCGATTTGATCTATCTGTGACTATTTTGTATTGATGGCCCCTGGTTTCGGTCTCCCCCACAAGTGGAAACATCTTCCCTATGTCGACCCTATCAAAACCTTTCATCATTTTGAAGACCTCTGTCAGGTCACCCCTTACCCCCCCCTCTTTTCAAGAGAAAAGGTTCAATATATTTTTTGCCTTCTCTTTCTGGGACTAACGTGCCAAATAAAGGCACTGAAATTGCTCAACTTTTGATCACCGTCACGTGAATTAGCACAATGATTGAGATACTTGCCATGTGGACTGTACAGGAGTCACACTGCAAATCCACGTGCATTTTATTAAGAAGCTGAAATGCTGAACTTGCCTGAAGGGCATCATTGATGGCTTCCCTTTGTATATTCATTTAAAATCCATCTGGCAAACACATAACTGGTCCACCGAGCAGGCACAAGGGGACATTCCTGTTTAACTCAAGGACTTTTGTTCAAGTCAGATGTCCACGGCTGACTTGTTATGCATGGTTTAGGTCTGCCTCCAAACAAACAGTCACTAGACTTCACAGCAAACCCAGCGAAAATTGGAAACGTTTTGATACGCGATAAGGCATTCTATCAAATGCAAAGATTATTATTAGTTACTACCGTATAGGGGAGTTAAATGACAATTCGGACAAAAAAAATGCAGTTTAAGGGAGAAGGGGGAGCGGAAGAGAGTGGGGAGAGACTATATATCGAAAGTGCAGTCTTAAGGCAAGCTTTGAAAGTAAGGGAGTCTGTGAGAGTTCCAAAGTGGGGGCAGAATGACTGAAAGCTCACCCACTGAAGCAGGGGGGCAGACAAGGTTGGGGACATGAAGCAGGTCAATATTAATAATAATCCTCGCATTTGATACAGTGCCTTATCACGTCTTCGAGACGTCTCAAAGCGCTTCACAGGACGCAGTGTCAAGTGAATTGACTGCATATTTTGTGAGTGAAATGCAGCAGCCAATTGCGCACAGCAGCGTTCCCCCACCCCAGACAATTGTGGATTGAGTTTGCTGAACGGAAGCAACGGCCGAGACGGTCGCAGAAACAGTGAGGGGGTGTAGTTGAAGAGAGATGTGAACGTGGACAACTGGGAGTGGGGGAGAAATAAAGACTTACGCCTGAAGCGACTCGGTAACGCTGCCAATCTGGTTCACTTTCAGCAACAGGCAGTTGCAGGCCTTCTTCTCTATGGCTTGAGCAATGCGCTTGGGGTTGGTCACGGTCAAATCATCTCCAACCACCTGGATTCCCGCTTGAGCTGTGAATGCTGCCCAGGCTGGCCAGTCATCCTGGTCAAAAGGATCCTCAATGGAGACCACTGGAAAGTAAGAGCACACATAAGAGCAACTTCCCCCCCCGCCCATTCGCCATAGTTTGCTTAATATAACTTGATGCAACTCGAGGGGTGGTGGTGGTGCGGGGGGGGAAAGGAGAGAGTCAGACATGCATGAGGACATGCCAGAATTGAAGTCCTTCTCCATCACTGGGCTCTTACGACCCTCCTTGCCACCCTGTCCCAAGAGCTTTCTGCAAAGCCCCTCTTGCGCCATGAACTTGTGCAAAGAGTTGTCGTCAGCCAACTCACCCAGCAGAGGAGATCGACTCAGGACATGATGGGTGCTAAAAAGCATTTTTTTTTTTTTACAAATGCCCATTTGAAGCACGTGACGTTTGAACCGTTTACGGATGGTTCATTTTTGGTGAGCGATTCGATTTTCTCCGAAAGCCGGTGAGTTTGACGAGTTTACGGTTTTAATGCGCTATCGAATGGACCGTGCTCAATGCAGAGAATCGAGTCATAGGTGCGGGACAGTCAGGGATTCTTCAAACCAAAGGGGCTCGGAGACAACCAAAGAATACGAGGATTTACACACCAGGGCAATCCTGAATAAAACCCATGTAGAGTTCACCCAGCTCATGGGCATTGATGTAGCGGCTGGGATCGTCCGGGGACTTGAAATCCAGATCGTATTTCCCACTGCGGAAGAACTCGGAAGCGGCTATATCCATACCGATGACAACCTTGTCGGTGTAGCCAGCCTTGCTGATGGCGTTCTTCAATAAATCCAAAGCTACAGATTTAAAACAAAAAAGGTTGCATCGATAAGACAGGTATTGTCAAAGCGTAGGCAGTCCTGAGCTCTTGCATTCATCGTTAGGGTTTCAGAATCCAATTTGGGTTGTCGAGTGCAGCTCAAGCTCCTGAGTTAGGACACTAAAACAGGCAGAATATTTGAGCTGGAGAGGAGATAGCCCACCCCACCGCCACCAAAAAAAAGTTTTTTTTCCCCCTTCAAATGTGTGTGTGGACGGGGGTACATGAGCTCAACGTTAATCATGATGCTCAGAGAATACTCTTGGAAGCTGTCCACAAACAGAATCAGTTAATGAATACAACGTCAGCTAATTTTATTGGATGCAATTATGCAGAGTAGATGCAGCAGCACAAGGATACAAAGGGGGGAGGGAGGGAGGAGGAGGGGAGAGAGAGAGAGAGAGAGAGATAGCAAAATAAATGGATTACATGTCGCATTAAAAATGCCAGTCAGAGGAATTACTCACTACGTCTTGCACCAAACTTCTACACCCACATTTAATATAAAATCAGATCAATTTCATAACCGACCTCCCACTTTTCAATTTTAGGCAAACACGCAAAGCTCAACACACAACACCACTTGCCTTGCGCACTAAGCTGAACGTGACATGATTTGCCTTGTGCAGAGATAAGCCTCTTATGAATGAGTTCATGATAAATATCGAAGCTTAATTTTAAAAATCAATCCAACTGCATTTTATGCAAATCAATGCTGAGCTAAAAATTCAGAGCCTAAAAAAAGGACACAGGCTTTTCCGAACCATTCATTTCATCGTTAGAGTTTTTAAAAATCTAGAAATGAGGTAGGCGTAGACAAAGAGAGAGAATTTTTAAGCAGGAAGAAGCACATGACACGGAGATCATAATGCAATCTGTATGACGGAGTTGGACAAGAACAAGGTCACGTTTGCATGAATCATCCCTTACACTTCAAAAAAAAATAATCGCTCAGTCCACAATTATTTGTGGGACGCTGCTGTGCGAAATTGGTTGCCCCATTTCATCCACAAAATATACAGTCAATCCACTTCACAGTATATTCTGTGAAGCGCTTTGAGACGTCTCAAAAACGTGATAAGGCGCTGCATCAAATGCAAGGATTACTACCTACAAGATTCAGCCCCGTTTAAATGAACGGTAAACAGTGTAAAAAGGGAGAACGACGTCTGATGCATATCAAAACAAATGTAGACAGGGTGAAGGAAAAAGGGGGACAATTCCCTAGTTGGCAAGTGGCCCGCGATTATGCGTTCTTGTTCCCCTCCATTGGCGAGGAGCTCCCATTGGCAGCTTGACATTAATTCTCGAGTTTACTCTCGTACTATGTAGCATTTTGGCAGGGTATTTGCTTCAAACTAGTCTGCAATAAAGCACCCAAGTTGCCTGCGACCTTGCTTACCCCACTCCAGGATTTCCTTCTTCTAACCATGTTGCGCTAACAACAATAAATGCCTTTCACATCGGGGAGGACGTCCCAAGGCGCTGGACAGTAAGGGATTTGGACCCGAGCTGGGGGTTGAGATGAGGAAGGGTGGAGGGTGGGGAGGGTAGGTGTGGGAGAGTCCCGGAAAGGTGTGGTCAAAGTGGAGGATCTTGAGACGTGCCTTGAAGGAGGCAAGGGAGCACCTCACAAAATTCACCATTGCATTTTTCTCAAATTTTACGTTAGTGTATGGAATGGGCTTTAATTGGCTGGCAGCAGTCATCTCCGCCGACACTATATTCAGCAGAGAAACCACAGGGCTGAGGGTGGGGGTGGGGGGGGAAATGGGAGAAGATCTCTCCTGTGTGCATGCACCCAGCTGGTTGGTGCTAATGCTATTAATAGCTGACTTGCAGGTCACCAGATTGCCCTCCAATGTCACTGGCTGTGTCGCCTATTCACAGCACACGGGAAGCAACATGACAAGTGTCCTGATCGTGAGGTTTTTCTCCCCCCTCCCCCCGGTGCAGGAGGCAGGATTGTACACACTTTATCAGACTCCACTATATAGGATCCACGCATGCCTTATAACAAAAGCGAGCTCCACTGTATAACCTACATCCCTGGTCTCACCCACATGAACGAACTTGCCCTCTTTCCTAAAATGGGACACTCGATTTAGTGCAGATAAAACTCAAAAGAATCGCACTCCACAGCCCGGGAAACAAATTGCATTTGCTACGCGTCCTATGTCCCAAGCAGCGGCAACAATTTGCATTTACATAGCGCCCTTCACTCAGGGTAGAGTCCGAGTGCTGAACAGTGGTGGAGCCTGATACCGAGCTGGGGGAGTTTGAGACGGGGGTGGTGGTGGGGGGTGGGGGGGTGTGTGTGGAAAGAGAGGTGACCGTAAGGACAGTCAAATAGGAAAGTCTTCAGGCGTGATCTGAAAAATGGAGAGCTGCAGTCAGCTAGAATTAGTCTGACAGCTGTTTTTCTAGTTTTGTAGATTCAGCATTTTAAGAGAAGCAACTGAGACAACAAGGTTCAGTGCCCTGCCACCATGGCAGCTTCACAGCAGCACGTCCAGTCTATTAAAAAGGCTTCGCACTAATCTTTTTGAAGGATGTCGACCATAAAATACCAAATCCGGAGATGTGAAAAAAGGGCCACTTTGCGTTACGATCTAATGGCTCAACAAAGTGACCCCTAAACATGGTACGCAGAACAAGACCTCAATAAAATGTAACCCAGGCAAGCTTAGTGAAGCTTTAAACATGTTAAACTCTTAACCAGCGGAAGGCAAATACTGCACTGGCATTTCTAAAAGCGAACCGTGGGATTTAGGATCCCAAAAAAAGGGAAATCAATTTTTCTATGAATCTGAGTTTCAATACATAAGAGCAATATTGTAGGCACCAGCCTGGGTCAGTTTGTAACACTCCCTCCTCTGAGACAGGAGTTGGGTTCAAGCCCCACGTCAGGACTCTGAGCTCAGCCTAGATTGACACACCAATGCAATGCTGGGGAATCTTTGCATTTTTTTAAAAAAAAATTTAAAAGAAGATTAGAACTTAAACCAAGGTTACGTCTGTCTGCTCAGATGAGATGTTAAAGATCCTAGCCGACAATCCTCCAGATAAAATTGACCACACACACACACATTTCACGTCGGTTTGCGGGAGACGCCCTTGAACCCCCAAATTACCTTCGTGGTTCTCCAAAATATTGGGTGCAAATCCCCCTTCGTCACCGACATTGATGGCATCCTGCCCGTATTTATCCTTGATGACAGCTTTCAGGTTGTGGTACACCTCAGCACCAATGCGGAGGGCATCCTTGAAGTTGGCAGCACCAACAGGCAGGATCATGAACTCCTGCATAGCTAACTTGTTCCCAGCGTGAGAGCCACCGTTAATCACGTTGAAGGCCTAAACATGAAAAGAATGTTTCAGTGACTGCCAACCCACAGCTCAGATTCATGACTGCAAACCTCGTATTCTAAGATGTTAAAAGCTTGTTCGTTGTGCGAAACGTCTCTCTCGCACAGGGACACTGCCAACCAACCAACTCGTCCCATTTGCATCACTCAACTAATCTCAGTCCAGGCAGACACTCCACTGCAGTCCTGAGGTTGTTGTAGGTGCAGTCCTTCAGATGAGACCAAGGTCCCAACCGCCTGTGAGAAGTTACTGAGGACCTAACAAGAGCGCACGCACTTCCGAAGTAAAACAATAATAATCCCCGTGTTTGATGTAGCCCCTGATCACCTCATTGAGATGTCTCAAAGCGCTTCACAGGATTACACTGTAAAGTGAGTTGACTATTTTGTGGGCAAAACCCGGCAGCCAATTGCGCACAGCAGGTGTCCCACAAACAGTCGTGGATCGAAGTGACCAAATTTAGTGTATTTGTTTTGCATGGAAAGAGTCAGACAATTTGATTGGGAGAAACTCAAAACAAATTGAAAGGCATTTCCTTTTGAAATGATTTCTTCAACAGCAAGAGGCAGATTAACGAGTTACAGATCTTGTTCTTTGCAGCCTCAGCTGTTTCTTCGTTGCTCATTTCTCCCCTTACCACCACCCCCCGCCACTAATTCACACCGCAATCTGCAGCTGGCAGTCGAACAAACACAGTGAAGCAAACTTTCAGCGAGAGACATCATTGAGGCAAGAAACCAACAACCGCTATTGACAAAGCCCCAGCTGAACATCAATGCCCTGGATTACGCTCATGGGTATAATGAAGCTCGCTTGGAATAAAAGCTTACGGGGACTGGCAAGATGAGTTCTTGATTCTCAGCCAGATCAGCAATATGACGATAGAGAGGGACCCCTTTCTCTGCAGCACCAGCCTTACAAACAGCCAGGGAAACGCCAAGAATCGCATTGGCGCCGTACTTAGCTGGAACGCAAATAAAAACAATAAATTAATTCTCACCTTAAAACTGCGGGGAAGGAGAAAAAGGAGAGAATGAGAGAGAGAGAGAGAGAGAGAGAGAGAGAGAGAATAACGTGCTCATTAAGAATATTTCCATTTAAAATTGATATCCAAATCCCTGACTGTCCAGCGCCTTAGGACGTCCTCCCAACATGAAAGGCGCTATAAAAATGTAATTCTGTATTCTATCTAAACGCAGGGTCTGTTAGAGATTTTTTTCTAATGTTCAGTTTACAAAAAGGCACTACCCATGACATTACTGTGAAGTGCATGGAGATATTCAACATGGTAAAGTGCTTATAATGTATATTAAAAAAATTGCTGGCACAACCAGATGATCACACTCCACCCAGCAAGCCAAACTGAACCCCTGGTATTCTGATGACTGAATTGGGCTCAGCTATAATAAAATAATAATCCTCGCATTTCATATAGCGCCTTATCACGTCTTCGAGACGTCTCAAAGCGCTTCACAGAATGTACTGTAAAGTGAAGTGACCTGTAGCCTCATAGCTTTGTAGCAGTCACTCGCAAATCAACGCTATGCAGATGAAGTTGTCAAAACCCATTGGGGGAGGGGAGAATATCAGTGAGGGGAGATAGATAAGACCGCACACCTACATTTGTTTGGAGTTGCATCCATACACAACATCAGGTTGTCAATCTTCTGCTGTTCGACGACATTTACATTCTACGAGGAAAGAGATGACATCAAGCACATGAAACACAACTACAAAGTACATAGTCCGTGACAGCTTAAACAGCCCAATTATAATAATAATCCTTGCATTTGATAGAGCGCTTTTCATGTCTTCTCGACGTCTCAAAGCAGTTCACAGAACAGACTGTAAAGTGAATTGACTGTGTATTTTGTGGGCAAAACGCGGCAGCCAATTGCGCACAGCAGCGTCCCCACAAACAGTCATGGTTTGAAGTGACCAATTTATTATTGTTTTGTTATTAATTATCTTAAAGCACGTGCAAAGTGCTGAATTCCAATACTCAGCAACCTCATTTGCTGTTTGGATCTGTCCAATTTGGACCACACTTTGTGCAGTTTTAATCAACTAAAAGTACTTAAAAGTTCAGTCGCCGACAAATTTTATCAGCTGGATCACATAATATTACAATCCAGAAGAAAGGGCACCCAGCCCATTAATTTTACGATGGTATTTTGTCCTCTCCACCAGCCGTCCAATGTAATTCAACTCATGCTGGCTCCACTTCGCCCTCACCCTATCCTTGACATTCCTCTCATATATATATCTGTCAAATTCCCTTTAAGAATTTATGGGCTGCCTCAACAACAGTTTGTGTCAGAGAATGCATCGTTCCAACCAACTTTTTTTAAAAAATATAGCCTCAATTTTACTCTGAGGAATTTGGACCCTCATGATGCCCAATTTCACAGTGGTAACAGCCTGCAGCTGGGAGGTAGGCAAACTTTCGCAGATGTCGCAACAAAATGTCCCAATCATAGTTGATTGAACAGATTTATGGCAATAGTTAAGCACCCGTTCCATCTACAATCATCCGTGTAAACCACTTCTGAAACATTGCCATTCACAAAAGACGCTGCACAAGTGCATCACTTCTGTAACTCATCAAAACAAGCCAAGAATAAATCCGAATAGAAAGCCATGCATTAACATGAAGGGTAGGCGATTCGGGACGAGGGAGGGGAAGGGAGCAAGCATTCCCTGCTGCAAATATACAAACTCGGTTTAGTTCCAGAGAGGAATGAGTCTGCAAGAGGCCACAACCAAAAATAGAACTCAAACAATTGACGGATTGGGGAGCGGAGCAAAGTAAGACCGCCAAAGCAAATTCCATTACATTAAGCGGCCAGGAATGTGCTTGTGTAGAAAACGCTCCTCGAAAGGATCTTTAGCACCCAACTGAGCTAATGACAATTTTTGTTTTCTCTTTTAGCAGCGAGAATCTGGCAGCAAAAATATTTCAAGTGCGTTAGAATATTTGAAGAGGTTGACAAGATTTAGAGATAGTGGCTTGACAATGCCTTTTCTTCTCTTCCCTCCCCCACCCCCCCAACTCAAGGGTTATGTTTAGTCATTAACGTCTCTGGGCAAACATGAATCCCTCAATGATGGGCAGATCTTATTCCTTCCGGGCAGCTGCCTGCTGAGTATACCCATGACTGAAGTCAGACAAGCATGTTCACTCGGGAAAGGTCAGGCGACTCGAGAGCATTCACAAGCAGGAATTAATGAACATGGCCCATGTGGGTCAAAGACATTGAAAACGCATTAGCATGCCTTTACCTTATTCTACAGCAACACAATGTTGGGTCAGAAAAAGAATTTAGTACAGCTAAATGCAGCCTCTCTTCAGAATAGCTATGCAATTGGCTCTGTACATTTGAGATGAGCTAATGCACTTGACGTGTTAATATTGTGAACTAAACTATCCTGAAGAAAGTTGTTTCAATCACCAATTTATCTTGACGCTCAGAGCTACTTTGCACAGCTGGGAGTCCTTTGGGTTCTGCTGTGTTCAGTGACCCTGATAAACTGCGGCAGATTAGAGCCAAGATTGGATGCAATTGAATCTCCATTCCCAAGTACCACAGGTGCCAAAATAACCCTGGGCTCAGTTTCCCTACTGAATTAATCTTATTAACTCACCCACCCAAATCTCTTCCCCCACCCTCCTCCCCAAAAATTCCCCAAACTGAACAATGAAATTTTTTTAAAAAATATATATTGCCTGCTTTACATATCCACATTGGGCAAATTAATCTGGGGCTCGTCTTTTGACAATACAGATTCTGACACAGTCGAGTGTAACGCTGTAATATTAATGCTGCATTTAACTTACAAACTACTCGAGAGGCAAGTCGCCCGAGGCAGCTGGTGCCTGGAATTCGACACGCTTGCTTTCCAGACTGGAATTCGAGGTGCGAGCTCGAGGTGTGAGCTGCGGTTTCAAAGTTGCATCTCCGACTTGTGTCGGCCTCCAGAGAAAAACTTTTGGAGCAACCACGAGAGGGAGTGACGATACTTTTCTGCCGAAAACACCCACCCGCTCCGTATCCCATCACAAGTTGACTGGCTGCCAAACAGCACCCTGGGTCAGGTGCTATCATCCACATTGTTACCTGGACTGAGTTATTTCTTCAAAGTCAACAGGAACGGTTAAAAGTCTCTAAGAAGCAAGTGAAAACGCTCTGTATTGAGGGACTACCAATTGCACACCCGGAGGAGTACATTCCAGTTCCGTAAGGCTAGTTTCTACATCAAGGCCTCAATGTGGACAAACTAATTTGAGGCTTTGAAACACCTACCTTCTTTAACAGGCCAGGTGCTATCGTTGTATTGATGTGGTCAACAGCTTTTAACACACCTGGAACAAACGAGCAAACCAATCATTGTGCATTCTCACACACATGCTCTGTAGGCACCAGTAGACATCCGGCCCAAATTGTTGCAATTATCTTTGCCAATTTTTCCCATATTGCTTGAGTTATTAATTTTTCCATCCAGCTTGGGTACAGAAGGCCAAGCAGTCTTCAGTGAAGGTCCCAAATTGGCCATGATTCACAAGTGGAGGTAACAAAAAGATCCTGTCCTGATGCATCCAAACTTCCAGTGGAGATAGCAATGAGCCAATTTCTTCCACTAAACCAACTCCAATATAGTGCCCCAACTTTTATCCTCAGCTGAGGTCAACCAATTCAGAAAGTGTGTTTGGCCCAATAGGCTTGTGGGTGAGATAAATGCATTTGGCGTTATCAATAGGAAAAAAAAGCAATATTTGAAAGATCACATTGGGAATGAACAAAGTCTACTGATACCCAACTCCACAAATTAGTCTGTAAAACACATGCTCTGCAGGTTAAGGTCACCACAGATGCACTCGTTACCTGATTACATAAAGCAGGTCCAATGAACATGTTAATATACTTAACAGCCCTCGACACACCTGCCAGAAAGGGAAACGAGACAGGTGGTTGAATTAAATAGAAGAAACATTGGGGGGGAAAAAGGTAAAATAACACAGAATACCAACAGTCTAGAGTTAAAGAAAGGAAATAGCAGGAGCCCAAAGCACAGATGAAGAGCGATCACAATATGATTTCAGTCACTGCACCCTGAACCTCTGGAACTCTCTCGCCCCCAATCCCTCCGCCTTGCCCCCTTCCCACTTTCAAAACCCACCTAAAGACCTTCCTTTTTGATCCTGCTTATGGCCACCCTACCCCTTCCCTCTGGCTTGGGGACAGACTCTGCTACTGTTAAGCACTCCAGGGCGAAGGGCGCTATATAAATGTAAATTGTTGTTGTATGATACATCTATAGTCGATCCATTACTCAAAGTTCTGCAAGTGACAAATTGCGGAGTTCCAATGAATATCTGAAAGAAACGAGTTAAAGTTTCAGGCATGAACTTTCTTCAGAAACTTCTACTGCAAACTTTGCTGAATAAAATGAACCAAAGGACCCAGGTTTATACGAGATAGGAGGTAGGGAGAGAGAGAGAGAAAAAAAAAGTTGCTTACCTTTGCCCAAGTAACGGGTCTTGTCACCATCACGAAGTTCCAAAGCTTCGTAAATGCCTGTGGAGGCACCACTAGGAACGGCCGCTCTGAAGAGCCCTAAAGAAAAAAAGAACAAGTTTGCAAAAATGCAACATAACTACTATTAGCAGGGGTTGGGCGGAGGGAAAGGTTGGAAAATTGCAGGGTTTGGAAAATACGAGATTTTTGTCTTGTACATCTTACCGTTACAAATTTATTCCACAAAGACTTTAAGTGGCATCAAGGTAGATAATTCAAGGTAATAATTTAAATCAAAAATCTAGAACTAGGCTGAAATGACACATAACTGACAGTCACGTTAGGAATTATAAGCTCAGACTAGACTCTGCACTCCAGAGGAAGTGGATTTAGGGCAGTGAACATCAAAACCTACTGTACGAAGAATTCTAAAACTAGTTCTGGGTCATTTCAGCTCATTTCCAGATTTTTGATTTGAATAATTAATTCAGGGCCTTTCAACCTTGATTCAGGTGGACATGGGCCTCTTTGACACCTCCTCCCAAGGGGGGGGAGGGAAAAAAGTAATCTTACTTTATATTCCCTCCTTGTCCAAACTTGCCCCCTCCATCACCCAATCCAAATTAACTACTCATTCCATTACTGTATCTGGGACATTGATGGGTGCAGATTAGCTGCTGCACTTGTCTCTGTTCCATTTCATTCTTTCCAATTAATCTGGAAATTGCCTTAAGAAAGGCACTGTAAAAACATAGCAATTGATATTAAAACTTTAAAGTCAAAATGTCTCAAAGCGATTCAGTTAATTGCTGGCAAGATATCCGACTGTGTTTAAAGCTGTTTGATATAAGGCCACTAAGATACTACAGTATAATGGATGTCTGCCTAAAATAGTCACTACACGTTACAGTAAAATACTGTTAAGCACTTTTGAGACATCAACATGAGGTACTATATCAAGTGGAAACGCTGAAGAGGAGACAGAAAGTCTTGAAACCCAAGCAGGAAGGTTTTCATCAGCTTGAATCCACAACTGAAGTGCTTAAGGGACCTACTTATGCAAGCTACCCCTAGGACACCAGCTTAAGCACATCTTTGCTGGAGTTTTTTTTAAATGTTTCCTTCAAGTGTGCACTTCACCTCCTTTTTCAAAGTTACAAATAATAATCCTTGCATTTGATACAGCCCCTTGTCACGTCATTGAGACGTCTCAAAGCGCTTCACAGAATAGATTGTAAAGCGGATTGACTGTATGTTGTGGGCGAAACGTGGCAACCAATTGCACACATCAGTGTCCACAAACATTCGTGGCTTGAGTGACCAGATTTGCTTTTGGAGGGATTATTACTCCCAGAAAGCGATCCGCCAATCAACTAACTATTGTGTTCCTACATTTGGTTATGAGTGTGGAGTAAAGAAACTCGGTACTCGTTTCGCCTTGCCTGGGGAATTGAACCCAGGTCCTCTTGCTTGCGAGACACTACACTATGCTTAGAGAATTTGGATTTAACAGAGAGAGAAAAACAAACACTCAAGTTTTTGGCGGACGTAGCCCTGAGCAAAAAAATAAAACCTCACGAGTCTGATTGCTTGAGCGCAAGACAAATTGAACAATACTGGGAAGCACTGTATCCAAATGTCAGCTCTTTTGGTTCTTCCTTCCACTAAAGATTGCAATCAAATACTGCTCACATTTGCCCTATTTACTGCTCCACATCAAGTTTGATTCCTAACAATCCCGGGTCCATTCATGCAAACCGTGCCTTGGTGCCTGCAGCCCCATTAAGACACCACAAGTGCTAATTGCGTAAAAATATTGCCAAGTCTTGCATCACCCAATTTCCATTGTGGAAACAGCTGAACCTCCATTACCCACTCAACCCATTTCCTCTGCTACGACGGTTAGACAATAACCCGTCAATGTGCATCATTGCCCTTTTCTGAAGTCTTTCAGAAAGTTCAGCAAGCTCTTTCAAGGCAGAGTCCACATCAAACGGGTCAATTGAATAAAACCCATCAAGCGACTCATCTGTCCATGCTGGTTGCCCTCCAGTTTCAGAAAGCAATTCACTGCAAAAATGCGCAGGAACCTGCCAAGACAAACTTGCATTGTAACCACCGCACGTGTTCCGCACAAAACTGCTGATCGAGTGAAATGCTTGAAAAAGTGTGCAATTTAGTCCAGAATAAGGTAAAACACTGAGATGAGCAGAGCAGCAGGTCAATCAAGATTTGAAAGAGCAAAACAGGTTCTAACCTCTCACGACACAGGGTTTGCCTTGCAGATTACTAACCCATCTTTCTCTTTTGGATGCTAACTGACTTGCAATGCAATTCAACCACTCGGGCCTTTTCTTCTCTCCACCCCACCCCTCCCAATTCCATCGAGCATTTAGCCCCAATCATACCAGCTCTGTTAAGCTACAGATATGTCACATCCCAGTCTAAAAAGTCTGTAGCGTTACTTTCCTGGCATCTTTTAAAGTTAATTTTCACAAGTGCTTCCCTGAACAACCATTGAAAAGGGAGACAAGGAACAACAAATTACATTTGTATAACACCTTTCAAGTCAGGAGGACGCCCCAAGGTATGGCAAAGATCATACGTCTCCCTCCGCGCCTACCTATCCTCTGGGTCAGAAGTTTTTGTAGGTTGTTAAAGATCCCATGACACTACTCGAAAAGAAAGGTTCTCCCAGTGTCCTAGGAAACAAACACCAGATCAATCGTAGGACCTTACTGTCTGGCACACAGTACTGCTACAGTAATCTACAAAAAAAATCACTACGCAAATCTTCTCAGGAAACCTTAATGTTTTGATTTTTTTTAATTAAGGCAAATTTAGGCAAATTGAGCAGTTGCCGTTTCCAAGAACGTTGCCAGTTCCCAGTAATACAAGAACAAGATAATGATTTTTTTGCTGATTGTGCAAAGTGGGTCTGAATAATCGGGGGCAGGAAACTCACTATTAGCAGCTCAACAAATGCTACATTCATAAAATTTCACATTTAATGTTCCCATGTGGACATGCAGATTCTTTCCTAAGATCTCCAGCCAACTTCCATGGGCAAAAGGAATATGACTGGACAAGCACAATACCAAATTAGGTGCATTAAGTGAACTAGTGGCCCAAATAATTCAATCTTTTCATAAGTGCAATCAACAGGAACACTGCGAATCCAGCCGCCAATTTTTCTCTCGACAAGTACGAGGTTGCCTCGAGTGGAACATTGAAGCAAACTAATTCCTACGAGCTGATAGACTACCTCTCTTGTCCTAGTCAAACAGTTCCAGCAAAATTAAAATGAAATGAAGCAACAAAGTTTGCGAGAACACGACCTTGTCTTCAATGTATTGGTGCTTCTTAATAGCACTCTAGGTTGAATCATCGAATCCTACAGCAATGAAAGAAGGAGATCATTCGGTCCATTGTGCCTATGTTGGCTCTTTGAAAGAGCTTTCCAATTAGTCCTACTCGCCCGCTCTTTCCCCCTTGCATACATTTTTCCCCAGACGAAAAAGGTTTACAACCTCTGCTACTCCAAGTTCATGACATGCCCAAGTTTAAGGAGCAGAACTTTCTGGAGCAGCAAGTCCACACAATCAATGAATGCAACACCGGCAGTCTAAAGACTAAATAATGTAATTTGCCCAATAAAACCCACATGCAGATGTTGGGTTAACACAAATTGGCTGATCCTCAATTGGGCATAAATGTTCCTCAGTTGGTAGCTTTCATCTCAATATCTAAAGGTTGTGAGTTCCAGTCTCCTATTGGGACTGGTTCATACTCCAGCCCAATCAATCAGTTGTGCTGGGGGAGCAATAGACATGTACTTGGTACAAGATGTTAAACCAATCTGCCACTTCAGGTAGATGCTCACGATAATCAACAAGAGAAGGGAGTTTCTCCTGGCCCAAATCATCCAGATTAATTGGTCATTGACTCACGGCTCCTTTTGTGCAAAGTGGTTGCTGTGTTTCACAGTCAATTCACAGGAATTACTTGGGAAGCACTTTGAGTCGGTTTCAACATTCGACGTGCTATCAAAATGCAAGGATTTAACTAATTTGCATAAGCAAATTGATGCTTCACACTGGCATTCGATCTAATTTTCATCGCAGTCACTTGCTGGTTTCAGCTCGACCTAACTAACTCCACAGCTGGATTTGTGATAAAGTTAGCAGGTGAAGGACTTTGAGAGCGTTCCCGCTGTTGCATTTGGCCCTTTCCTGCGAAGGGCTTCTTACATCAGCTGTCAGCCTGTTTGCACTGCATTCAAAATGAAACTGGGTCTCAGAAGGTGAGAGGGCCTACCCTGAGCCATCTGCGCACAATCTCTGCGTTTTGAAAACACCGCATTATCCTGAGGTAATATCACAGTTCAAAACCCACAAATTAATCCCAGAGCAGGGATTTGTAAAGAGAGTGGATTGCTCGGGGCTGATTTGGATCCAATTCTCAACAAACAAGGATGTGTTTGTTTCATTGAGCAGAGGTAGGACATACACTGCAGTGGAGTTTCTTAAACAACTTGCATTGTCGTTGTTTTATTAAGAAACTCAGCCACAGAATTTCTTTTGGAGGACAAAGAAAAAATTCCAAGTGCTGGTTAGCACTAACCAAACGTTACAGTATACCCAGAGAATTAAAAATGTCGAAGGCCACCCTCCGGGACCTCCAGTAAAGCAGGTCATGTTCTAGGACAGGCAGCTAGCTATACTTATCTCCATAACCAAGCTACAAGCCTGTGCATTCATTCCCCGGCGTTGACATCAGTCCGAGCAAATGTATTAATCAGCTGCAATAAAAATAAACATGCCTCATTTAGATTCCTACACTCACTTACGGGCAGGTGGGAGTGTGGACCCAGGGAACGCAATTGCTATAAACGAATGGTGGGAGGTTGTGCTTCAGAGGGACAGCACTTGTCAAACTGTGTTCGCTCTCAACTCTCGAGAGTGGATAATATGTCGAAGGAACGACTTATTCAAATGAGAAGTCCGAAATTCCATTCAAAGCTGGGAGGTTTGCGAGCAAATCCATGCCTTAAAAAAATGACTACTCTACTTGCAGATTAAGCAATTGCTCCACACATTTGTGCAAAGGTTATAAAGTCTGGTACGTTGCATAATACATCCATCTGGCAGATTGGCTCAGTTGGTAGCCCGCTCAACTCTTAGGTCAGAAGGTTGTGGGTTCCAGTCCCAAATTGAGACTCCAAGCCCAAAACCTTAGCCAACACCCCAGGGCACGACCTGAGTTAGAGTCCCCGTTTGTCAGGTGAGACTTCAAGGTTCCCCTCAAGTGAGCATTAAAGCTACCAAACCTTTGATACTATTCATTAAGAGAAGGGAGTTGCTCCCGGCTTCCTGGCCAAAATTCCACGGAAAAAATAGCAATTTACTTCAATGGCTGTTTGTGGAACCTTGCTGTGCAAGCTTGCAACTGCATTTGCCATCAAATCATCACCACACTTACAGGAAATAATACTTTTTGCATTTCATGTAGTGCCTTTTCATGTCTACGAGACGACTCAAAGCGCTTCAGAATATACTGTAAAGTGAATTGACAGAATGTTTGGTGGGCAAAACGTGGCAGCCAATTGCACACAGCAGCGTCCCACAGGCAGATATGGATTGAGTGACCAGTTTATCATTATTATTTTTTTTTGAAGGGATTATTACCCCTGGAAAAGCGATCCGCCAATCGACTAACAACCGGGTTCCTACTTATTGCTGGGTAAACCGAGGTATATGTGTGGAGTAAGAAACCTCACCCAACATTTCACCCTGCCAGGAATCAAACCCAGGTTTCTCGTTTGCGAGGCGAGTGCTCTGACCACTGAGCTACAGGACTCCGCAGTATAAAGTAAAAGTAAAACAACTGACCTTTACCAGTGTACAAGTCTACTTCCACAGTGGGGTTCCCACGTGAATCCAGAATTTCACGGGCATGGATCCTCAGGATAGACATGATGCTTCTGTGAAGGAAGAAAACAAGCGTTCGAGTTAATATTCCTATTCCTCTCTCTCACCTGCTAAACACACAGCCTTAAAAAGAACACAGCTGGGATCGATAACCCAGAAAATCCCCACAAAATTAATCAATATCCTAAAAGCGCACATTAAGAGATTTATTGATTCCCCCCCCCACCAGATACCAGCCTGAAGCATATGCTGTCCTGGGAAGGAATGCAGCATTGATGGATTAAATTAATGGAGTGACTTGGTTTAGCAATGATGGGAGGCTAGGTGAAATTGCACTATATTCTCCGTCTGAGGAAGGTAAAGGATAATCTGACCGAGGAATTTTAAATAATTGTGGTGCGGGAAAGAGAACTGTTAAATACCAAAATATCTCGCGTTTGATACAGCACCTTTCACGTCAGGACTTGGCAATACGACAGCCAATTTGCACTTAGCAATGTCCTGCACACAGCTATGATTAAGTTAAACAGAGGAGGATTCTTAACTCTGGTAAGAGGGGCGGTCATCAAATAGAGATAAGCCGGTCAAGCGTGATCAGAAAATGTCTTCACACAACAGCACGAGCACGCGGAATGCCCTGTCCCCAGAAATAAACTGGGATATTTAAAGGGGTTGAGCATATATTTTCAGAGGAGACGGATACTTGGAAGCAAAGTAATGGGGGGGGATTGTTGAGAAAAAAAATTGGCCACAATTAATAAAACGTCAGAAACTGAAAAATATAGCCTCTCCTGGTTCGGTTTCTAGGCATATTGTAAGGTATATTGACGGAATCTGGCAACGTCTCGTTTTGGACTCGAAACACCCACATGCAGTTTTACGACACCAGACAATTTTGATCACCATCAACCACACATTTATGAATTAGTGTGGCAGTACCACAACAACATGCTTTAGGCAGCAACTATATTGTACCCTACATGTGTGTGGAACAGCATTTGAGAGCTTAAACGCACCAACAATCAAACCGTTAATTCTTTTGCTGACCCATCCCATGAAACACGCAACTCAAACTTGACAAGTCACCGACTTCATCGAAAGCAGAGAGAGCAAGTACTCCTACCTCCAAACACTCTAAAGCTATTTTAAAACAAATAAAGCAGAGCAATTAGGAAGTGATCTGACGAAGGCTCAGATTGCCGGGCCGCGATGCCATCTGAACCTCCTTGGATATATTTAGAATCACTTCCAGGTACCTGTGCTGAATGAATGATGATTCAATAATACAGTAGCATTGAATTGAACCCCAGCGTTCAGAGATTATAACCCAGAGTTATATTTCTTCAGTCCAATACATTACTGTAGTTGGATGGCTTTGAAATTTTAAGGTTAAAAAAACAAGTTCAGATTACTTTTTCTTCCAAAAGAAAATGACACACATTATTAACACAGCCTCTCTCTCTCTCTACATTTCCTTGTGAAATACACACACACTTTACATAATACACTCACGTATTACATAATACGCTACTGTGGCATCTGTCCCCAACTGTAAAATTTCAAGACTAGAAAGTGCCAGTTTGTTTTAATATAAAAGAGAGGATTGTGAAACTTCCATTTTCACTGAGGAAACAAAATAATGCACCGCGTAGATCAACTAAGAGTAGACACAGCAGAGCAAAAAAATAATAATTTGGTCACTCAATCCGCAGGATGTTTGTGGGGACGCTGCTGCATGCAATTGGCTGCCGCGTTTCACCCACAAAATGCACAGTCAATTCACTTTACAGTATATTCTGCGAAGCGCTTGGAGACGTCTCAACAATGTGACGAGGCGCTCTATCAGAAGGATTCTTATCAGCGTCATCTAATCAAAGACGCGCATTTACGACGAAATTCGGCGCGGCGGGAGATTCAATCGTGAACTTCATTTCAACTTTAAGGTTTCAGTGAATGCATCGATTTTAACCTTCACTTTTTTTTAAAAAAAGAAAAGAAATCACAAAACCTTTTCAGTCATTCCGAAGCGCGTGTGTGACAGGTGGGGGGGGGGGGGGTAAAAGGGGGTTAAGAGGGGGTTAAGTCACCTTGCCTGATTAGCTGGTTCCATTCACTAACTAACTCATCACATCAAGTCACTCCAACACCACAGCCAGATTAAATATTAAAGATTAAAATAAATCAATCGACTTCGAATTCAAGTTCTTGAGCCATTTGAGATCCAACAAATGAGTTCTCCTGTTTCCCCCCCCCCCCACCCCATCTCATCCACCCCCCAGCCCACCCCACCCCACCCCCCCCCCTCCCCACTTAATGTATTACTTAACACAGGTTTAACGAAGTAAAGCCACAAAGGATTCCAGTTCAAAACGAGCCACAGCGATTGATTTGATCCTCCAGAAGAAACACACAGACGTGGGATGCAAACGGTTCCATACTTCTGACAAAGAAGGGCGACACAAACCACAGGAAAGTGGAGAGATCACTGTCCAGCCGGTGGTTGGCAGAGAAAATTTCCCTATTTTTAGCCCCCGGGGCTATATTTGCACCGACCCTTCCAAATCCATATTGGGTACAACTCCTAAACTTCTTCTATTCCGGGTCGACATATTAAAAGCAAGAGAGGGGGAGAGAGAAATTAGATATATTATATATAATATACATATATTGTATATTATATATAATATACATATTTTGTACATTATATATGATATATATATCACAAACGTATTTTGGTGGATTTGCTTTTAAAAACAAAATAAAGTATATAAATCCAGGTTAAGGATTACAAAAATGGGTGGGTGGGGGGGGGGGTCTGATCACCGTGTGCAGTGTTTAATATATATAATATACAACGTCACAGTTTTTTAATAAATTGCACAATATACGGGATTCAGTCTCAAAGCAAACACCGACCTCCCCCCCCACCCCCCACCCCCTGCAAAATAAAACAACCCTAAGCTTTGCAAATTCCCCCTAGAGATGCGTTTAAAGGCAACACCCCCCCACCCCCAAACACCCCACACACACCCCCCCCCCAAACACCCCCCCCAAACACCCCCCTCCCCAAACACCCCCCCCCCCACACACACACACACACGCAAATAAAACGCTGCGTTTCGAGACGCTTTTAAGAATAATTACAAATGACTTCACGCCGCAAAACGGTGGCAACGGAACGTTAACCCTAATACAAACCGAACCGTACACCAGCAGAGGGGGGGGGGGGGCACAGCAGGAGGGGGGGGCACAGCAGGAGGGGGGGGGCACAGCAGGAGGGGGGGGGCACAGCAGGAGGGGGGGGCACAGCAGGAGGGGGGGGGCACAGCAGGAGGGGGGGGGCACAGCAGGAGGGGGGGCACAGCAGGAGGGGGGGGCACAGCAGGAGGGGGGGGGGGCACAGCAGGAGGGGGGGCACAGCAGGAGGGGGGGGGGCACAGCAGGAGGGGGGGGGGCACAGCAGGAGGTGATCCGGTGGAAGAGAGGAACCTGTGCGTTGGGTATCACAGCTGCCAACTGACTGCCTTTGGGGAGGGGGGAGTCTAACCTGTAGAGGAGGGCTGCACACAGGTGAGAGGGAGAGTCTGGGGGGGAGGGAATGTGCACAGGTAAGGAACAGTGTGTGTGTGTGTGTGGGGGGGGGGGGGGGTGTCCACAGATCAGAGAAGCTTTAAGGAAACACTTGTCCCCCCCCCCCCCACACACACACACTCACTCACTCCCAACAAATAAAACAAATAACTCGCCTTTTGGAAGAAGCGCTTAGAATTGCGCACAGGTCAGACGAGGAGCTCGAGGGATGCGCACAGGTGTCTGTGGTAGTTTGGGGTGGGGAGGGGGAGGGGGCGAGGAGATGTCGTGTGCACAGGTGGAGGAGAGAGCGCCGGGGAAGTGTGTGCACAGGTGAGGTCACTGTCTCCGGCTTTTAATGCAACGCCTTACTGCACTGGGGGGGGGGGGGGGGGGAAGGGGAGTGCAGGTCAAGAGGGGCGAGGCGCAGGTGAAGTTAGTTGGAGCAGAGGGGGGGGGGAATATATTACACAGGTGAGAGAGGAGGGGGGGAATATATTACACAGGTGAGAGAGGAGGGGGGGGGATATATTGCACAGGTGAGCGAGGAGGGGGGGAATATATTACACAGGTGAGAGAGGAGGGGGGGAATATATTACACAGGTGAGAGAGGAGGGGGGGAATATATTGCACAGGTGAGAGAGAGGGAGCACAGGTCTGAGGGTGATGCTTACCTGTGTGCAGAGCGGGGAGGGGGTGGTGGTGGTGATGATGATGATGGTGGTGGGGGTGATGGTGGTGATGGTGGTGGGGGGGAGAGACAGGACCTGAACCTCTGGACCGGTCGGCGCGGGAACCAACACTCCGCTGTCCAGGCGGTCAGGCCGAGCTCGGGCTCTTATTGGTCGGGACCGGACATGTAGCAGTTGGTCGCCATGGACACGCTTGTGATACACTGACACCTACTTCCTGGGGGCGGGGCCAACCTGGCGGGACATCATTGGCTCACACCCCCAAAGACCACTTCCCATCATAATAATAATTATTATTATTATAATTATTATTACTATTATAATGGTGGTGATGATGACGGTGGTGATGATGGTGGTGATGACGGTGGTGATGGTGGTGGTGATGACGGTGGTGATGGTGGTGGTGATGATGGTGGTGATGACGGTGGTGATGACGGTGGTGATGACGGTGGTGATGATGGTGGTGATGACGGTGGTGATGACGGTGGTGATGACGGTGGTGATGATGATGGTGGTGATGATGGTGGTGATGACGGTGGTGGCGGCAGCATTTGATACAGCCGTCCGTCTCGCCGGGTCTTCCAGACGTTCCCGAAGCGCTTCTCAGTGGGGGGGTGGGGGGAGAGAAGGAGAGGGAGCTGCACTGTAAAGCGGAGTGACCGTGCTTTTTTTTTTCCCCCCCGTGGACGAAACCCGGCAGCCGATTGCCGTGAGGCGGCGGCGTCTCCCCCCCCCCCCAACCCCCCACGGCAAACGGTCATGGATTTGAGCGACTTCGCGCCCGCGAACGCGCCAAACAAACAAAAACAATTATTATTATTATCCACCCGGAAAGCAATCCGCCAATCGACTAACGACCGGGTTCCTCCTTACTGCAAGGCAAACAACAACAACAACAACAACAAGATTCCATTTATAAAGCGCCTTTCACGTCAGGAGGACGTCCCAAGGCGCTGCACAGTTGGGTCATGACCCGAGCAGGGGGGAAATGGTCGAGGGGAGGGAAGGGAGGGAGTGAGGAGGGGGGAAATGGTCAGGGTGAGGGAAGGGAGGGAGTGAGCGAGGAGGGGGGAAATGGTCAGGGTGAGGGAAGGGAGGGAGCGAGGGGGGGGAAATGGTCAGGGGGAGGGAAGGGAGGGAGCGAGGAGTGGGGAAATGGTGAGGGGAGGGAAGGGAGGGAGCGAGGAGGGGGGAAATGGTGAGGGGAGGGAAGGGAGGGAGCGAGGAGGGGGAAGAGAGTCGAGAGGGGAGCTGAAGGCACGGTCAAAGAGAATACAACAACGTTACATTAGTAAAGCGCCTTTCACGTCGGGAGGACGTCCCAAGGGGTTGAGGTGTGAGAAGCGAGGAGACTTGCCTAATGTTTCACCCGGCCGGGAATCGAGCCTGGGTCTTCTCTCTAACCTCCAAGCTACAGGACCCCACCACCTGCCTCCCTTATGCACCCCGAGGATATAGACATGTACTGTGTATCATCAGCAACTGGTCAAGACCGCCCCACCACACCTGCTGGGCAGTGAGCCATCCCGGAGTCAGGAGGCTACATGAGATAGATTTATTTTAGAAAATAATACAGTGGGATACAGAATGTAATTTGGTCACTCAATCCACAACTGTTTGTGGGATGCCTCTGTGCGCAATTGGCTGCCGCGTTTCACCCACGGCAGGTTGCGGGGGGGGGGGGGCGCGTGCATCGATCTGCACATCAGGAAGAAACACCTCCGAAAGGCACAAAGTAACCCTTCGCTCTCCACACCGATAGAGCAAGAAGGAACAGAATCCACTCGACTACATTTGTCCAATCGGTCTGTAGGAAGGTGCTCGCCCCTGTCTGGTCCAGCCACAAACTGACCTCCGAGCGTTCTCTGACCATTACCGCCTGAGAATGTCCCCCAAAATATACAGTCCAGTCAATTCACTTCAATAATATATTCTGCAAAGCACTTTGAGATGACATGATAAGGCACTACATCAAATGCAAGGATTATTGTTGTTATAACATTCACCTGATCATCTCTCTTGGTGCCAGCTACTCAGTCTACTCGTAGGGAAAAAAAGACAGAGAAACCCCTTCCCCCCCCCCCCACGCAATAAAAACCTCAAGGCCACTTGGGGAGGGAAGGGGGAAAGAGTTAACTGGAAAATGGGAAAATTCCTCCAACTTCCGACAGCAGTCAAGTAAGCTCCAGGAGATTACCAAGATACCACTAACAGAAAAGCATTGCTCAATATCTCCTGCTTAATACCTTGCTGCACTGCTGTTCATGTCACACGGCAGATTAGGCTTCCCAGTCTGTCACTGCTGAAACCTCTCTTCCTTAATAAATCTGCCCAGCTTTCTCCTGATTGAGTGGATGTTATCTGCACAAACAGAGTCACCTGGGAGCCTGTTCCAGATGTCCTCTACCACAGTCAATTCACTCAACAATATATTTATTCTGTGAAGCTCTATGAGCCGTCTCAACGACACGATAAGGCATTATATCAAACACTAGGATTATTATTATTATAATAATAAATGCTTCCTTGTGTGATTTTTCTCCAGCCTTACAGCAATTACTGAGTTTCACACAGCAGTTTAATCAGCTGCTCAATTATTTGCGAGCATTTTCAGTGAAGTTGCTGAAACTTGCCTGAATCAGTACAAACGAGATTGTTTGTCTCCACCATTTATTTGAATGAATTGCATTATACAATCAGAGAGTGATTTGCGGCTGATTAATCACCCGGATCACGGAACCTGTCAAATAGTCTCCAGCTTGGTTGATAAATTAAAACAATAAAAATTGCTGACTTGAAACAACAGCTTTCATTTATATGGCATCAATAATCCAAGGTAATCAATTGCACAACCATCTGCCAATTGTTATTTGTGCCATTAGAAATGCAGAGAATTGATGTTATGTGTGGGCTATCATGACCCTGTTGGTAGGGTTGTGAGTTCAAGGTCATCATTGGGACTTGAGCTCACAATCCAAGCTGATTCACCAATACAGTACTGGGGGGGAAGGAACACACTGTAGTATCAGAGGTTTGCTATGACTCAGATGAGACAATTATCCAAGGTCCTATTTACCTGTGCAGGTGGATGTCAGTGACCCTGTGACAGTCTTTGGAAAGAGAAAGCAATTTCCTCTTGTCTGAAAATCCGCCAGATTATTCACCTCATGGCTGATTGTGGGACATTGCTGTATGCAAAATGGTCACCGTGTTTGCCTAACAACAAATAGTCACTACACTTGGCAATGGTTTCTGTCATGTGCTTTGAGATATTTCAATGCAAGTTCTTTCCCTACTGTTCAAACTGATAAAAAATAGATTGTGTTTTAAGACAAGCAGTCATTATATTCCGAGAATATAATAAGCACAAAAATTCCAGCTATTCTCAGCCTGTAAGGCATTTTATCTTAAAATGTAGATCACACAGAATTCTGGAAGATTTTCAAATGTAGTGTTAATTTGGACATTGCAGTTCGTAAAGAGAATCGCTTCCATTTTTAATAACTTAATATTTAATAATAATTGGAGTTGAAGTACAGACTAATTATGATCCAATAGAATGGAGGAACAGTCTCGATGTTCCTACAATGAACAGTAAAGTTAAGAATTTTGTACAATCCTGGGCATCTTACATTTTGAGGCAAAATAGTCATTTTTTACTCGAAACTAGATGGAATTTCATGCCTTCTGTGGTTTGATACACTTTGCATTTACACAATAAGTTCCGCCCTGGTATTGAATGCCTTTTATCCAAGGTTGTTTTCTCTGCGATGGAATTTTACACTTACAAATCATTATCTCCACAGACAGTACGTTCCAGCCCTGGGGTAAACAGCCTCACAGCAGTGAGAAACGGTATTGATTTTCTGCACAAAACAGAGGCGCAGAGGGCAGGAATGGATTGACTGACTGTAAATCACTGTGCTATTGTCCTCGGTTTCACAAGAATGAATAATCTCTATTTAAACCTGTAATGCCTTCTCTCTGGGCCTATATCAAAAAGTATAGGAAGGAAGAACATGCATTTTAACTCCACTTTAACATGTCAAAACATCTCAAAGTCTTCGTAGGGACTTGCTTGTTACGTGCAGTGATAATTTTGTTTCTCGGCAAATCTGGCAGCCACTTGAGGCAGCAAGGTTCCCCTGAACAACCATGATGTTGGAAGATTGCTGGCCAGGATGCCAAGGAGAAACTCGCTTCTATTTCCAAATCATGTCACGGGATCTTTAGCGTCTGCCTGAAGTGAAGGACACAGAACCTCCAGTTTGTTATCTCATCCAAAGCACGGCACCTCTGACAAAGCAGCGTTCCCCCAGTATTATACTGGTAATGTCAGCCTGGACACAAATTCTTGTCTCAATGTCTAGTAAGAGTCCATAGCCTCCAGACCCAGAGGCGAGAGCGCTGCCAACTGGCCTGGACAACTGGTGTACGGTTTCTGCACAACTCTTTTCCACTTTGGTGACAATATGAGTTTCAGGCCTTTCTGTAGGTACTCAACTGAAAAACACACATTTGCTATTTCCCAAACATTTGGGGGCTTGTGACCATTTGAGGGAACGCTGAATAAAATACCTGTTCGATAACCTGAGTCAATTATTACACTTTAACCACCTGGATTAAAAACTGTAAGAAACCGGTGCCCGAAATTTCTCAGGGGTCTTGAGGCCATTGTCTTTAAGTGTAAAAATTGGGGGAAGTTCATTCTCGATTTGGAAGTATTATTTCCGCTGTTCTTCAAACAAATTATCCGAATTTCTGCATGATCTTACATTTGAAGACAATAGTCTTAAGGCTAGGGCTAAGACCATGAGGAATTTTGGAACCTCAAGAGCCTCACTGACCTTGACTTTCTGCAGCCAACTCAATTTTTGGGTCTTTGAACTCAGACTGCAGGTTGACACTGGGGGAGCGCTGCATTGTTGGAGGTACCACCTTTCGGACCAGACATTAAACCGAGGTCCCGTCTGCCTGGTCGGGTGGACGTTAAAGATCCCTTGTCAATCTTCGAAAAGAGAAAGGAGTTCCGACCAATGTCTTGGCCAACAATCCCCCAGAGAGAAAACCTGGCTGTGCAAACTGACTGCCACTTTCACCTACAAATACATGGACCTGATGCTATCCTTGTGAAGCGCTTTGAGACATTTTGACAACGCGATGAGGCCCCAATAATGAAATGCAAGGATTAATATTATTATTAATCTAATAATGGCATCCTGGCTTTGCGGCGATAAAGGCTTAAATCTACACTCCACTCACCTTGAAACTGTATCCCACAGAGCGTCGCGAAATAACACTTACGCATTTGAATTCTTACTCTTTTTAGGCAAAGCTGTAATTTGGTTAGCGCAGCTAAAAAAAATCCAGAAATGACAGTTTCCATAACCATTTCTATCGAATTTGCGGGAGCAAAAGTAGTACTTGAATAAACAATCTGCCACACCCGAGAGTAGATACTGTTACTTTAATTGACCTATCAATCCTATACTCTATCTGGGACTCATACCCTTCCTGCTCACTGTCAGTCAGTGTACAGCAACAAAAACAGTCTGGCGTGTGCTAATCCCTTTATTCTGTTAATATGGAACGTTTGTGTTTGAAATCACTTGCGGGAAGAGCGTTAATTCTCCTCTGCATGTTCCAGTTCACACAAGGACACTGGACTTACCAAGGTAAAACAACTGTTCATTTTATTTTAATGATTTAATTCTGTACAAAAGCTTAGTTGGAAGAGATGAGCAAACTTGCATTTTTAAAGCGGCTTAAGAATCGCCTACAAAAATACTCAATCGCTGCACTTCGAGACGTCCTCTCGACGTGAAAGTTGCAAGTATCAAATGCGGGTATTGTTTTTAAAATCAAAATTATTAATAGTAGTAAAATAATACTATAATAATGACGATAAAAGTCAAAACGTGCCCGAGCCTTCACGCAAATTGTCTGGGCATTCTTTAACATGCTAATCATAAGAACAGAAGAATTTGCTGGGCAAAAGAAAACCAAGGTCCATCCAGTTTGTCTTCCACCATCCTTGCAGTCGCATTGCACGTTATATCCGAAACTATATATTGAATCCCGAGATATTATTTCTATCTAACAGAAATCTATCTAATTTGTTCTTGAAAGAATCCACACTTTCTGCTTTCATCGTCTCCCGAGGGAGCCCGTTCCATACATTTACGACTCACTCACTGAAGTAGTGTTTCAGCATTAATTTTGTTACTGTAATAATCAGTATTAATCAGGAGGAATCATTGTGCTTTGGAAAATGAATTTCAACATTTCGCTGTGAGAACGGGTGAAAGAATGTGGCGGGCAAATGAAGATTGTCACAACTAAATGGTTCTGACCTGCTTTCACTTAACCATTGCCAACATGTTCTCCTGAGTGTTATTGTTTATTAGAGGGCGACATGGATGAAGAACATTGGGAATCACAGTACCCAGCCTGTGCTGGTAAGCATCAGTCTCCCATCGATATCCAGAGGAAAAAAACCAAGTACAACCCTCATCTTCCCCAAATACAACTAAGTGGTTACGATGCACATTATGAGGAACCCTTGAGATTAACCAACAACGGACATTCAGGTACTGTATCTGGTCTCTGAAATTCTTAAGGGAAAACATAAGGTAAAAAAAAGGGGGAAAAAATATTTCTTTTACTTGGGAAATTGGTGACGAGGAGGAGGGCACAGTCTGAGGATTGTTCACAGAACAAACGAGAGAGAAGGAATGTTTTCATTCAGAGGCGTTGAGGAATTCACTCCCACAAGTGTCTCTTTGAACAGAAATCGTTCAAAAGGGAATTGAGTCGAAGGGAACTGAGCCGACATTAAAAGGATAATAAAGGGAAAGTGGGAGTATAATTGAGGGGCAATTTTTTTTAAACATGGGTGGAAGTAGGGAGGAAATGATGATTATTAAATATTAAAATGGCCTGTTTTGGGGCTGACATATATATTTTTTTGAAAACCCATTTTCAGGTCGCGTCGGAAGACCTTCTTCTTCGACCGTGCCTATGGCCACTTCCACCCCCTACCCCCCCACCACCCCTCCCGGACCGGTGTCGTGCTCCACCCTCTGGGATGCAACCCTGCCTGAGGGGCTCTGCGTAAATACAAGTTGTTGCTGTTGATGTCGAACATTTCTAGGTGTCCTATATTTCCAAAGGCGGGGGGGGGGGTGGGGGAGTTGATACGAGCTGTTACCCATTCAGAAATTGTTTAGTATTAAAATGACACGTGGATATCTAAGTGAAAACGATGTTACAGTATTTTTGCTCTTAACCATTAACTGTTTGTGTGTGTGTTTTGCTCTCGCAGTTGCTTTAGGTGTGCCGCCCAATCTCTTTATCAGCCACGGGCTACAGAATAAATTCACAGCGGTTCAAATGCACTTTCACTGGGGTGGTCTGGACCTGGAGAGCAGTGGTTCTGAGCACACAGTGGATGGGATGCGATATATTGCAGAGGTAACAGAAACCCCTTCAATGCCTACCCGGGAGGAGAATTATATTGTAATTTTAAATAATAACCTCCGTTCCACCATCGCAGTCGGGCTTTGAGCCACTAAGCCCCGAAACTCTGGAACACTCTTCCTCTATCCCTCCACTTTGCTATCCCTATCCCACCCCCCACCCCCACCAACCTTCCTCATCTTCAGGTCACAGCTGAAGACCTTCCTCTTTGACCGTGCCTTCGGTCACCTCCCCCACCTCTCCTCCTCCTTCTCCTCCCCCAAGGCTGAGTCGTGCTCCGCCACGGTCAAGTGCTCTAGGACGTTACCCTGCATGAGGGGCGCGGTGTAAAAGCAAGTTGTTGTTGTTGTGGAGGGGAGAAATTCCATCTGGGTCTAGACTTGAAACGTTTAGAGCGTACAAGCTTCAGAGAGTTCTTAAACCCGGTCTTAATTTTCAAAACTGGGATTTTCCGTAGTTCTTAAAAGACCCTGGATTGAGTGTCAAGACCCAGACAGACAGCATTGTAGGAATAGCCCCAAACTTGCCTGCTCTGATACACGAGAACAAAAAAAAGGCTAAACCCAGACCGAAACGCAATGTCTTCCTCCAGGATTGCACAGGATGCTACTGTTTTGCGGAGGTTTAACCCCATTGAGCTTGGATTATGAACCACAAGCCAGTTCCGATTCCAACAGTAAGGAATTACTCACCATCGAGGAAGTTACCTTGTGTTTCTCAAAGGGAAAAGGTACCACTGTGGGGGAATGAACACTCCTCTCGATAACTTGTTATCAATGTCGCCTGATGGATTGTCAGCACTTGTCATCAGCGAAGGTAGTCAGCCCATCATCACTAAGGAATGAAATAACATCACCGGGCCATTTAATGAAAGAGAGCGAGCCTTAGTTTGTCCTTGACATTACATGACTCCTTCTCCCCTGACCTTTACCAACCACCCATTTTGGTTACATCGCTGCTGGCATTATTATTGTCTATAGACGAATAGAAATTGCGAGTTAATTGACTGCTCCCTGTTTGGAACAGGCAATCTGTGACCTTCATCAATAAACCTCGACGGGCAGCAATGCTAGAGTGCAAGGAATAAATCATTTATTTTCCTAAAGGCATTAGTATTTTACCGGGTTAGCACACTGCTAGTTGTATTCAAAACATTTCTCCTCCAATTTTACGCCCATGTTTTCTTGAAGGCAGCAGCTCATGTTTTTGCCCAAGCAGTAACGACTTTGCTCAATGGCCATTATTCCGGTCTGTGACCAGATAGTCACCACAAAGATCATTCTCACCCAACCCCCACAACTCGAACGGTTCGAAAACACGGATAGTGATCAGGAGCAGGTTCCCTGGATGCTTCCATCCCCTTTCGCCAAAGTAAGATGCAGGAAACATGGGCGCTTTACCTAAAAGGGTAGCTCACAAGCCCAGGTAATAAAATCATTCCCTGACACTTTCTCTTTGGTTGTCTTCTCAGCTGCACATTGTTCACTATAATTCGGAGAAGTACAAGACCTTTGAGGAAGCGCATGACAAAGAAGATGGATTGGCTGTCCTTGCATTTTTCTATGAGGTGGGTCTCCAGGCGTCCAGGAGTGATATAAAAGTCTCCGATGATGAGACGGTGATCTGACCCAAAGCAACAACGACTAGCATTTACACAGCGTCCTTCACAAAGACCAACCTTGGCACATCAATTAACATGGCTCCTTAACCCCACTAATGAGTATTCTTCCTGCCAGCCAGTTGCTCACTGGGAGTTCCCACTCGGCCAAACTGTCCTCCTCTGGCTGGTATCATGTTTTACAAGAAAACACAGTGTGTAATACAGAGCATCGGAAATGATGAGGGCATAAGGAAAAAAAATAATCTTCCCATTTAAAGCCAAGCTGGGACTGCATTTGGATTGAAATCTGAACTGACATATTTCATTGACCTGCACATTACACCAAACAGTTAAGTCTGATTAGGAGAGACCCACGGGGATGTGTCTGTACGTCGCATTGTAAAGCATTGTGGGCCTCGCTTGCAATTTACAAGATGGATCATGGGTCAGTAATTCCTGCATGGAATCTGGATCAAGATTCCACACGGGTTTGATATGGATTACAATGAAGTCATTTCGGGACAAGCTGATCCCTGGCTCATGGTACAATTAGATTCTGAACCTGCTGAAGAGTTAACAGGAGTCGATTGGGAAAGATCCCTGTGACACCACCCCCGCCCCCACCCACCCCCCAGTGGTTAGTCTGCCCTTCCACTCCAAACGCAGTTCACACCCAGAGCAGAGTGGTCGAAGGGGATTCTAAAGGGATCACGCGTGAAGGAATCCAGCTTAGCTACACAGCAAATTGGGACAACGATCATTGAGGAGTCCTGTAGCTCAGTGGTTAGAGCACTCGCTTTGTAAGTGAGAGACTTGAGTTCAATTCCCGGCAGAGGGCGAAACCTTGGGCAAGTTTCCTTACTCCACACAGAGCCTAATAATATTCCCTCCAAAACCAAAAACAATAATAAATTGGTCATTTTCAATCCATGACTGTTTGTGGGACATTGCTGTGCGCAATTGGCTGCCGCGTTCGCCCACAAATATACAGTCAATTCACTTTACAGTATATTCTGTGAAGCACTTTGGGACGTCCTCCCGACGTGAAAAGCGCTATATCAAATGCAAGGATTATTATTATTGAGACGGGCGACAAAGAGTTCATGGTGTGTACTTACCATCTCTCTGTGCTGTGGAAACCTGATGATACTTTCGGACTGATTCTTGGGTGGCTTTGTTGCAGGATGGTCATTTTGAAAATACCTACTACAGCGACTTTATCTCCAGCTTAGGCAAAGTCCGATACGCAGGTAGGTGAAACAACAACTTACACACACACACATATATATATATATATATTGTGTTGGGTAATGTCCCAGGGTGCTTTATTTTCCTGCAACCGTAGAATTCAGAAGCACTGTGTCTCTTTTCCTCTTCCATTTCAGGGCAGACGACTCAAATGCATCACTTAGATATCAGCACCATGCTCTCGGATGACCTCTCGCAGTTCTACAGATACAAGGGATCTTTAACCACACCGCCTTGCTTTGAGTCTATAACTTGGACAGTCTTTGACACGCCGATCAAGCTATCCCATAATCAGGTAAATATGATCTGAATTGTTTGTATGTAAAATCTGTAAAATCTCAGTTGGTAGCAGTCTTACCAATAATAACAATAATAATCCTTGCGTTTGATACAACGCCTTATCATGTCTTCGAGTCGTCTCAAAGCGCTTTGCAGGACACACTGCAAAGTGAATTGACTGTATATTTTGTGGGCGAAATATGGGTTAGAAAGTTGGCTTTCGTTCAAAGTTCAGTCTGATACTTCAGTGCAGTACTGGGGGAAAACATCGCGCTCTTGGAGGACGGGGCCTTCAGACGAGAGAATGAACTAAGATCCCCATCTGCCTGTTCAGGTGGAAGTTAAAGATCCCGTGAAGCTGCTTGAAAAGAGAAGGGAATTCCTCTCTTGTCTTCTAAATCTCCCCCAATGCAACTGATCATTTATTTCAATGCTGTCGTGGGCTCTTGCTATGAGCAAAATGGTTGCTTCAAATACCGGAAATGACCTCTGAAGGCCTTTTTTAATGTTATACGTGTTATATATTCAAATTCCCACATACATACACATATATATATATATTTTAATAGAATTTTCACAACCCACTACCTTCCGACCAGGAGACACCTGGAGCAAAGTTGAGTGGGAATTACAGTGGATGACTCCAACGGTGGGAAAAGCTATGGCCGTTCTCCGCCTCTCTTTGTCTGTTTTTTTCGCAAAAAAAAATAAAATGAAAGATAAGGTCCTCAGGAGATAAGAGGGAATCGGCTGTTGACCCGCTTTACGACAGCAGGCGTTGAAATGAATTGTAATACCGTTGCCTCGCTGCTGGAGGCGCTGCCGAGCTGAGCTCCCAGCTGTTGCCCGTTGTCAGCGGTCAGTGTTGCTTACAGCGCCGCCAGGTGGACATTGAGCAGTTCTGACCATCTTGAGCAAGTCACGTCATGACAAGGGATGGGCCCGATACGGTTGAGTTGTCCTCCATCGCTTCACAGGATCTTACTCCGTGCGTCAGCCCGGCCGCAGCGTCAGGCCGCTCGCCTCTGAGTCGGAGCGCTCCGAGACGCTATCCGGCGTGGAGGGGCGCTATAAAAATCCAAGTTGCTGTGGCTGTTGTTGTTGTTGTTGTTGGGTTCAAGCCCCCACGTCGGGATTTGCAATCACGTCGTCTAAGCTGACATGTCTCGGGTGAGACGTTAAATCGAAGCCCCATCTGCCCGTTCAGGTGGATGTTAAAGATCCCGTGGCGTAAAGAGAAGGGAGTTTTTTCTCTCTCCCGGTGTCAGGGCCAACGATCCCCCCAAATAGATTGGTCGCACACACTCCACGGCTGTTCGTTGGACGTTGCTGCGTGCAACCGGCTGCTGCATTTCACCCAACAAATATACAGTCAGTCGACTTTACAGTATATCCTGCGAAGCGATTTGAGACGTCTCAACAACGCGATAAGACGCTATATCAAATGCAAGGATTATTATTACTCTAAAGGGTAGCGACTGTGCTTTTGAGGGCGAGTGTGGCAGCCAGTTTACTACACGCAGCAATGTCCCACAAACAGCCATGAAGGGAATCAATTTTTTTCTGGAGGATTGTTGGCCGGGAAACCGGGAGATCTTGGCCCAGATTTAGCACCAGACAACAGGCGGAGTTAGCAATGGCCACAAATCTCTTCCGTTTTCCACAGAGCAATTTACTCCACTGGTGGTAACGATTGCATAAAAAAAACACTCAGTGTTTCAGGTTAAAAAAAAGTGTGGCCTTTTTTTAAACTGGTATAAATACTATAATTTAATGTTGGTTTCTTTTTTTTTAAATGCACTTAAACGGAATTACATAAAGAATGCAAATAGTTTCTAGGCTCTGTTTCCCCCCACCCCTCTCTCTGTGCCCCTCTTAAGTGGTTGCATGCACGCAAAGCAGAACAAAATTCTTTTGAATGGAGTGTTCTCTGCAACCACCTGTAAGATTCCCCCCTGCCTGCCAGTTCCTGTTACCAATCCTACAACACTATTTAACTATCTAAGTTTTCCACAGTGACCGGGGTCACAACAACAACAAATCGTATTTCTATAGCGCCTCTAACATCAGGAGGATGTCTTGAGGTGCTGGCGGCTGGATTCGGGAGGGGTGGCGGTGTAGGGGTGGAAGGATGACTGAAGCCACGTTCAAAGAGGTAGACCTTGAAGGTGAGGGAAGAGATGAGTTGACGGGACTCAGGGATGGAGTCCCAGAGAGTGGGGTCTGTCAATCTTCCAGAATAATTGGGTCTTTTCACTATTTGTGAGACTGTGCCGTGTGTAAAGTTCCCGTGTTTGCCTAGAAATACAGTCACTACACACGTCAGTAATTGCCCGTGAAACATTTTTGCTTAGGTTTGATTTTACCACTGCAACGACAACCACTTGCGGTTGTATAGCTCGCTTCACACAGGGCAGAGTCTTGGGAGCGTTTACCAGTGTTGGACCCTGTCTATAGTCGGTTTAATGCGAAGATTATTATCATACTCTCGAACCCTCAATTCTTCCATCCAGCTCAGGCCCACAGTACTCATTCCTGCTCTCAATCGGCCTGTCTACTTTGCACCAGGCGGCTTATCTTACCTCCCCTCCAGGAAGCAGAACCTCCTAGTGATGCCATCCCAGAACAAGAAACCTACACCTCCCCTCTCCGGTACATGGATCCAATGTAGTTGCCTTCCACAGTGCCAGTTCGGACTCTCCTACATTATTACAACAACTTGCACACGTTGCAGTTCGGGAGACTGAGAGAAGCTTTGGAACAACCCTAGTTTCAACTCAGTGTAGACTCGGGTGACTAGATTTTGTAAACCAAATCCGGGGACGCAGAGACATACAAAAAATTTAACTCACCACAATTCCTGATGCTGGCAGTACAGTTACTTGGAGAAGTGTGTTGGATTAATGCCTGTGTTTCTCTGATTAATAAGTGTATGTGCTTTAGAATGCTGTTGTTGTTCTTGGTCAGTTTGTGGCTGAACTCAAGACGGGGCAAATTTGGCCCCAGTAACACAATACCTCATTGCCCCAAAAATCAGGGACGTATGGTCACCCTAGAGTAAAGCAGAGCTCAAGCCTAGGATCAGTTCTGGTTTGTGTGACTCGGTCACGCACCAGGCTGTATGATAATAATAATAATTGATATACCATCTTATTGCGTCATTGAGACGTCTCAAAGTGCTTCACAGAATTTATTACCTGTATATTTTGTGGGTGAAATGTTCACATGTCCGTATGTCCACCAAACGAGCCGTCGGTGGCCGATATTGATCGGTAAAGTGCATTTCCTTTTTCTTGTTGTGTTTTACAGATCCGACTGTTGGAAAACTCTGTGCTGGATTGGGAGAACAAGACTCTGAGAAACGATTACCGTCATGCCCAGCTCGTGAACGACAGAACCATAGAAGCAAGTTTCCAAACAGATCTGGTGAGAGGTGCGGTAATAACATATAATACTGCAGAGTGAAAAATGTACTGTATGATGTGCTGACACATTGCGAGACAGAGTTGGTATCGTGGAGATGTCCTATTTGATTATAGTAGTGAGATGGGGGGGGCAGGGGGCTGGGGTTGGGGGGCTGGGAGGTGGGCTAATGAGGGGGAGACCTACTGGGTTTGACATCTCCTTTGCTGAGCTTCCAACTCCAGCGCTCTGAGATGCCGTCCCTTGTGAATGGCGCAACATAAATACAACTTGCTGCTGTTGCTGAAACAGTTTTGCCCCCAAAATATTGGGATCCATTGGGCCAGTACGTGGCGCTAGCAAACCTGCTGCCATGCAGGTCTCATGAGAACATAAGAATTAGCTAGGCGAAAGAAGACCAAGGTCCATCCAGTTCACCTTTCACTATCCTGGCAGTCGCTTGCACATGGGGTGTCCCAAATTCTATAATAAGAACAAAAGAATTAGTTTAGATGAAGGAAATCCTTCGACACATCTGATCTCATCCTTCCAGGATACCCACCCAACCATTCTCCCATCACGGCGTCAAGATATTTTGCTTACATGAGTCCCAATGTCGTGGACTCAGCCACCCTTCCTGGCAACTCTGTTCCGGTCGTTACCTTCCGTGTCAAGAAAAACTTCCTGGTGTCTGTCCTGAAATTGCTTCTTGTCAGTGTGAAATGGACTCATTTAGAATGTGCCTCTGTGTCCTCCAATTCCGTGACTTAGGTTCCTGCCACCTGGACGAAATCAATGAGAAGCTGGAAAAAATTGAAACGATTTTGCACAAGTTCCAACTAAACGCGGAAGCTGGCCAGGCAGGTGAGATATACGGCAGGATTTCCTAACCATCTCAGACGATTTTCGCAGCCAGAGGTCTCAAGGTTTCTCTGCAGAAGGTCGTGGACTGGCTTCACCATACTAGGTTTAAGGTAGTGATACTTTATGCAGGCAGCTTGTGATCCACAGTAAGTGACCTCAGTAGTGAAGCTGCTGAGCTGGAAATCAGCCACTATTTTCGCATGGGAAGTTGTGTGGTCAGTGCCCAAAGCAGAAAGTGCCACAACTGACGTAAAGGACACCCGCACTGAAATCTACTAAATCAACAGCAACAACTTGCATTTAGATCCATATATATGTAGGTGGCGCTAGCAAACCTTCATGCCGGACGGGGTCTCGGAGGGCTTAAGGCGTTGTATGTATCCCGCGAAGCGCTTCGAGACATCTCGGCGACATGGTAAGGCGCTCTATCAAATGCAAGTGCTATTATTATTATTATTATTATTATTGAAATGCACACTCCGGGAACCAGTCAGCCACTAGAATTAGCCTGTGATGTAACTCATAGGAGAGAGCTAGAGAGAGAGAGAGAGAGAGACAAATCAGACCTGGCGGCCGTTGGTGTAATTTAATGCCGTTCCTTGCTTCCTCCTTAAGGTGGCAGTCAAACAAGTCACCCTTCATCAGGAAAATCATCCACATTCACCGCATGTAAAAGTTTTCCCCTCAAGTAAAAATTGTCCTGGAATCTACCCAGCGGTAGAAGTTCTTGTTGTTGGTCATATGCGTCGCAGCTGTTTGGGGCAAGTTGCTATGCACAAATTGGCTGCCACGTTCCCCCTACCAAATACAGTCACTACACTTTACGGTAAATAATAGCAATAATTCTTGCATTTGATATAGTGCCTTTGAGACCTCTTCGAGACGTCTCAAAGCGCTTCGCAGAATACGCGGTAAAGTGAATTGACTTGTACATTTTTTTTGAAAAGAGAACAAATCGGTTACAAGTTGGCCATTGATGATGTATTTTCTTGATGGTTTCCGAAAGGCATCGAGTTGGCTTCGCACCCCGCCTTCCACTTCTCGGAGGGCAGACGAGAAAGCTACGTTGAAATCCGAGCCCTTCGCAGTATGGATCTGCGTTCCTTCAGCGTGTGCATGTGGATCAGGATAAAGGATTCCCGGTCAAAGATACTTCTGTCCTACGCCACCAAGGGCAGTGACAATGAACTGGTGATCTCTGTGGGTCTGGATTGGGGGCTATGGATCGGAGGCCACTTTGTGAACATCGGGTTTCACTTCAACTCCAAAGACTGGGTCCACTACTGCCTGACCTGGAGATCTCAATCCGGATCTGCGGAAATGTGGATTAACGGATTGTCGGGAAAGGAGAAGCGGATCAAGAGAGGGCACGTCCTCAGGAAGGGTGGGACGCTCTTACTTGGTAAAGACCAGGATGGTTTCGAGGGCATTTTCTCCGACGTCTTTGTCGGCGACATGACTGCCGTTAACATGTGGGATTATGTACTCCGCCCCGCAGAGATCCGAGAGTTAATGGAGTGTAAACACCGGTGGAAAAAGGGGAATGTTATAGCTTGGGGGAAGAGTGCTGTGACCCTTTTCGGTGGAGTGAGGGTTGAAGATGATAACAGTTGTCTTGGGTGATCTATTCACACCCAGTGCGCAGAGCAGTATTGGATATCTACCAGGATTGAAGGAGGTGAGGGGGGGAGAGAGAGAGAGAGGAGTGGGTGGGGGGGGGCAGACTGATATTTTGCAACTTCTTCGCTAGTAATCTTTCTTTTATATATATACACACACACATACATGTAGAGCAGCAACATTCCACAAGGCCCAACAAACCCGGACGGGAATTGTAAGGAAATTTCCTTACGTAAGAAATGCCATAAAATCAACTCCTTCGGGTGTCAAAAACCTACACATTTTATGAACGATCATTACAATCGTTGCGTTTCATGTAGAATGCCTCATCACAATGTCTCAAAGCACTTCTTTTTTTTTCCAACAGCATGTACTGCGTATTAATCTAGGCAAAAAAAATCTCAGTTCAGTTTATGGTACAATTTCTGCCAGCCATTCTGCATCAGTGTGAAGCTGACCTCAATACTGATTAACAATGATTCCATTGATAACACATTGAATAAAAGAGTTGTAGTTTATCTAAACCATTGATTCGATTCACCCAAACAGTCCCAAACATATGCTTAGCCCCGCGCTATAGTAATCTATATCTTTATTTAACAAATAAAGGATTGTTCTTGGAGTTGGCACAGGGCCAAATGGCCTTCTTCTGTGCCCTAAATTTCTGTGGTTCTAAATGATTTCTAAAGTCTCTGAATAAAATAGGTTTCACTGATGGAAAATGCCAATAAAAAGCAATGTACAGCAATGTATCTTTGGATGGGCTACATTATTATGAGGCACAGGTTATAAATAATAATCCTTGGATTTAATCCACGGCTGTTTGTGGGGACGTTACTGTGGGCAATTGGCTGCTGCGTTTCGCCCACAAATATACAGTCAATTCACTTTACAGTCTGTTCCATGGAGGTCTCTGAGACGTCTCGAAGACTTGATAAGGCGCTTTATCAAATGTAAGTCTTATTATTATTTGATTGTTGTGACTGTATATTTATAAGCAAATGCAGCAGCCAATTTGTGCATAACAATGTCGCACAACCGACTGAAAGACCAACAAGGTAGGCAAGGTGAGAGACTTCCCTTCTCCTTCTGTGTGATGCCATGAGATCTTTGACACCCAACTTAACAGGCAGATAGAACCACAAGTTCCTTCTCAAATTTCAGGAGAATTTTCTCAAGGCCAAAGCAAGCTTTGAAGGATGTGAAGTTCACCTAACCCAAAAGAATTGACAAAAATCAGTTTTTTTTATTGTAGGCTTTATCTTATCAGTATAGGGTTGGCTTTGTCAAATTGTATGGACCAGCAGATTTAACAGTTCCACTCTTGCCCAGGCCGCAAGCCTAGACTTTCAATGGAGCCAGACTGTTGGGGTGAAAACAGTGGGGTCCAGTAATGCTAGCACATTGTCAAAAATTGCATTCGGAGCAAGTCAATAATTACTGACAAGCCAGGAGAGGGCTGTGTGATCACGTGAGCACAACAGTGATTACATACACCCTGACCCTGTCCACAATTTACAATAAAGTGATAATTATTATTGATCCTAACTATTCCATCAAACCTCCCAACTTTCACCCATTGTACCACAAAGGATGTTAAGTCTCGGTGCTTTTCTGCTCCTATTGTTTTTCCTTGACCTCCGCTTGACTCATATCCAATTCCTCCTCAACCTCAACTTTGTTCCTCTTTGCCATAGTCTGACTGATTTCCTGGAATGTTTTATTCTTTGTCTCGGGAACGAAGATGAAGATGTAAGCGAATGTCAGGAAGCAGATGCTGCTGAAAATGACGAAACAGTAGGGGCCGAATCCTTGCTGAAAGTAAAATACAAACAAAAAAACAAAATCTAACAAATGTCTTCAATAGGTGAGCATCAATTTTGCCAAACTCTTAAGATTTCACTGCAAAATCCACCTTGAACCATTACTGGAATCAAAATTTGCACGTGATCATTATCACCAGTTATTATTAAGATAAGAGTAATAATAGTAATTAACTGTGTTTATTACAACGCTTATCGTGTAATATAGGTGAATTGTCGTCAAGTGTAGTGTAGAAAGAGCTATGTGTTCGTTCCCCGCCGTTTCCCCACATCCTTTTCTTGGTATCAATAAGTCAAACATTTAAAGCAAACTCAGAAATCAAAAGGCCACCCACCACCAGGAAAGGAAAGATGATGCCCACAAGAAAGTTACAGAACCAGTGCACTGATCCTGCCACCATGAAGGCTGCTGGTCTGGAACTCTGACGAAACAGCTCTGTGGTCACCACGTAAGGTATCGGACCTCGAACGCAGAGAAAGACAACAAGTTAGTCCATTGCAAAAAAAAATCAACCCACTTGGTGAAGTTGTTCATTAAGGAGACAAACAATTGTACTAAAGCTCTGGAGCTCTCTCTCCCTCAATCCCTCCGCCTTGCCCCCTCCCTCCCTAAAGACCTTGCTTTTCGATCATGCTTACGGTCACCTCCGTGCACCCCCCCCCACCCCCTCCCTCGCCGCTGTCAAGCACTCTGGGACGCTACCCCACGTGAAGGGCAAGTTGTTGTTGCTGTGTTGGACACCTATGCTTCCATATGGCATTTGCTAATTATTTACATACATACGTACCTACTTTTAAAGGCTCCGATTGATTCTGCCTTGACATACAACCAATTTGGGCTCAGACTTCTGCTAACTGTCCTGTTTGTCCAACCTCAGCAAACCAGCTTCCCCTCACGGCACATATCCTCTATTCCAGAACTCACTCTTGCCAAAGGATCGGTTCTTGAACGAGTTGAACTCCCCCAAAATCGGCAGCAATAATAATAATAACCTTGCATTTGATACAGCGCCTCACGCATCTTCGAGAGCCGCGATATTACAAGTTAACTTCGGGGTGTACGTTCTTGGTTTGAAAGGGGAACATAAATTCTGCCAATAAAATACACTTACTGGGTCCTATCGCGTGTCCAATGATATAAACGATAATGCTGAGTATGCTTATAGCAGGCATCCAGTGAATCATATTCTAAAGAGAAAAGAGAAAAAAAAAGTTATTTCATGACAATAATAATAATCCTTGCATTTCATCTAGCGCCTGATCAAGTCGTCAAAATGTCTCAAAGCGCGTCACAGTGATTTAATGCAAGATGTAGTGACTGTGTATTTGTAGGCAAACACGGCAGGCAATTTAGACAGAGTATTGTACAAAAAAAACAGCCTCGATATTAACAGATCGTTTGCCTCATGGCTTTTTGTGGAACTTTGCTATAAGCAAAATGACTGCTGCATTCACGGCAAAGATAGTCACCTACGGGAGTAATTTCCCTAAAGCTCCGTGTGACATCGTGACACAATCGGGTTTCTGTGACAACCCGAGTTCTGTCTTTCAATAGCGGAAAAATACGAACCTGAAGTTTTAGAGCCACTGTCAGTACTGCAGAAAACAAGCCGCAAATAGCGAACCCAATCAGCAGAAGAATCTTACGGCCGGCTGCATCCACAATGAAGATCTGCGTACAACAAAGATTGAGGTATATCTTGGTGAAATTCGCGCAAGACTCAACCCGGAATAGCAAGTGAATGCACAAAAAAGCAGAGTCACGTTTCCAGTACGGTATTTGCTGTAGTGGATTTCTTAATTAAATTAGTTAAGAAATAGGGGGAAAATGAACCCCTAAGGCCTCTGGAATGCACTGTCTGAAAAGGCGGTGGAAACGGATTCAATAACAACTTTCAAAAGGGAATTGGAGAGTTACTTGACAAGGAAAAATTTGCAAGGATAATGGGGAAAGAGTCGGGGAGAGGGACTGATTGGGTAGTTCTTCCATAGAGCCAACACCAGCACGATGGGCCGAATGGCCTCCTTCTGAGCTACAATAATCTATGATTAAACATTTACCATTACTACTATTGTTTTATTCTTATTAATAATAACGCTAACATAATAATAATAATAATAATAATCCTTGCATTTGTTATAGCGCTTTTCACGTCGGGAGGATGTCCCAAAGCGCTTCACAGAATATACTGTAAAGTGAATTGACTGTATATTTGACAACTTACTGCTGCTATGGTCATGATGACATTGATGGTGCCCGTTCCGACAGTGATAAACTGAATGCTATTTTCGTAGACTCCAGCTGTTCGAAATATAGAGTCTGCGTAGTAATATATCTAGGAACACAATCGCAGTATCAACGGCAGATGAAAAACTAATAGAGAGAAAGGCCTTTCACTCCCGCAAGATTTTGCAAGGTTATTATTTTCGCTACCTTGATAAATTAGCCGTGCAGAATTTATCGGTGGTAGCGTGGTGGTGCACTTCACTGTCAAAGGTACCATCTTTTGAATGGCATTAAATAAGAACCCAACTGCCTGCAAACTGTGAATGGAGCATCACCTAGCGTCTCGGTCAATGGTCAATAGTCCTCCCGTTTGTGGCTGTTTGTGGAACCTTGCTGTGGCCAAACCAGCTCCCCGTTTATGTCTACAAGAAGATGAATAACCCTTGCATTTGATACAGCACCTTATCACGTCATTGAGACGTCTCAAAGCGCTTCACACAAAGTACTGCGAAGTGGATTGACTGTGTGTTTTGTGGGCGAAACGCCTTACGACCAGGTGAAATGCCGTGAGATGCTTTGATGTTGTATAAAAATACTTTCTCTCTCTCTCTCTCGCTCTTTCTTTAGACCGTCTTTGAAAATACAGCGAATCGACTAAGAGTTTTGACTGGACAGATGAGACAATGACTCGAAGGAACAAAGATTGCTCTTGCGAGGAGTGACTCAAAAGGAGCATCAACAGTTACTGGTGTATTCTTTACCCACCCATGAGGAATGAGTGCCTCATTCTCTTGCCCTGTATCTTTGCGTCATTTTCGTGACTTACCGCATTGACGCCCGAAAGCTGCTGTCCCATGTTCAGCATAATGACTGTAATCAGCTGCCAACGCAATGCCTTAAGTGTGAACAGATTCTTCACTGTCAAAAGCCCGTCTGCCTTCTCAGATTGATCTTCCAATTGCATTTCCTCTATTTCATTCTCCACATTGTCGTAGCCTCTCAGTCTTTGTAAGGCTTCACGGCGATAAAATCAAACAACGCTGGTTATAATATTGCTCACTTTGCCTTTGACCCGACGCACTATAACGTCGCAAAAGCGCTTCGCAGCAAATTGCTTTCAAGTGCGGTGACTGTGCGTTTGCAGGGGAAACACAGCAGACATTTTGCGAACAGCGAGAATTCACAAACAATTTGTCTGGGCGATTGTTGGCCAGGATTCCAGGTGGCCAAATAATCTAAATAGTCCCCCCATCCACCTGCTTGCACCCTAAACCCTCTAATATTCCTCTATTTCAATCATCTATCCAATTCCCTTTTAAAATAAGTGTGAGGTTTCTCCTTAAATCCCAACCGTAGATCCCAACCACCAGCTCAGGTGTGGATCCCTGCCTGTCCAGCATCTTGGGACGTCCTCCTGACGTGAAAGGCGCTGTGTGTAAATGTAATGTGTTGTTGTGGTTGTTGTTGCTGTTATTGTTGCTTCCGCAACGGTTGGTGGCAGAGAATTCAGCAGGTTCCTTGCAATCACCTGCAGCGATCCTTTCATTTAAACCCTCCGTGTGGTTTACCTGCCCTGGCTTTATCTACGCTGCCTTTCTGAATCAACAGGAATCTTGGACTCTCAGGCAAAAGAGGCAATAGGATGACCTGCAGGATGGCAGGAATCCCTGTCATTGCCAGCATCAGCGGCCAACCTGCCAACAAAACAGAAGCATTAAGAATCCTTTGTGGGAAACTGAGTCATTCTCAAACATCTGAATTGGGAGGGGAGGAAGGTGGCGGGAGAGTTAATATTCTGGTATTAGGATTTACGGTCAAATATTAGTATTTACGGTCATAGAAAATACACCTCACCCCAAGCAGCCGTTCTGTTTTTGCACGGGGTTGTGTGGGTGACTGTCAAGCAACTTGTTTGACAGTGAAGCAATGCGGTGGGTGGGGGGGGCGAAGAAAGTGAATTATAATTAATCTGATCCCAATCATTCCCTATGATATAGAGGCTTTAACATTAAAACAGAGTCAGTGAGATCAATCGTATATTCCTGTCACTGCCCTGGATGGGGTTAAATGACAACAGCTTGCATTTATATAATAATAATAATCCTTGCATTTGATATAGTGCCTTATCACGTCGTTGAGACGTCTCAAAGCGCTTCACAGAAAATATTGTAAAGCGAACTCACTGTATATTTTGTGGCCAATTGCACACAGCAGTGTCCCACAAACAGTTGCGGATTGAGTGACCAACATTTTTCTTTGAGGGATTATTATTCCCGGAAAAGCTATCCGCCAATTGACTCCTGTTCCTACTTACTGCTAGGTAAACAGAGGCGTGTGGAGTCAGGAGATTTCCTTAAGATTTTGCCCCACCCGGGAAAGGAAAAATAGGCTTGGAATGCTGCACAGTTGGATCCGAGCAAGGGAGAGGAAGGAGTTGATCATACTGCCACCAATTGAACTAGGCTGACACACAGTCTAAATATACTGAGAATATTCCATACCATCATCGTTGGCGAGCAAGAATCTTAATCCGAGGATCTGAGCAAACAGAATTCCAATTGTAATGAACAACTGAGGAACCACACCAATTCCTCCTCGAAGCCTCTTTGGTGCAATTTCCCCCACGTACATTGGGACAACATTGGCAGCGACGCCTAGACGCATAAAAGACAGAAATTATAATAAATAACAATAATCCTTGCATTTGATACAGCGCCTCATCACGTCTTTGAGAGGTCTCAAAGTGCTTCACAAAATAGATTGTAAAATGAATTGACTGTATATTTGTGGGTGAAACATGGCTGTAAATTGCGCACAGCAGTGTCATGGATTGAAGAGACCAATTTATAAAGGGAGATTGGTCAGGCATAGCACAGTAGTGGAGTGTGGGAATGACAGGGTAACGTTTAGTTCAGACTGCCTGGGTTTACGTACCTGCACATAACCCAACAATAAATCGACTGATCATAATGATTTCAAAAGATTTTGATTGTTTGCTGGTTCCCATCAGTATAGCTGGCACGATGGAGAATATATTGTTCACCAGCAGAATGCCCTTCCTGCAACAAGGGATCGTTGATTGTCTTACGTTTAGGCCAGAAAATGCATTGGTTACACAGCTTTCATGTAATTAAGTGAATTTACCGTTACATCTGATAACGTGCAAATTGAATGGACCTGATGTGAGTGTTAAAGATCTTCACTTTGGATCAATGATCCCACCGCCATGATGCACTGCTTGTTTCCATGAAGATTCCATTGCAAACCTTCTTTCATTTCACCCCCCACTCTCCTCCTCCCTAATACAAATGCCCTCCAGAGGCCTTTTCTCTCAAAGTTCATGTGCTAATGTTGGGGGTCAGACTCCACCACTGCTAAGCACTCCAAACAAGGTCAGTACATTTACTGACTTCATAGAATCATAGAATTATACAGCACAGAAGGAGATCACTCGGCTCATCGTGTCTGTGCTGGCTCTTTGAAAGAGCTATCCAAATTAATCCCACTCCTCCGCTCTCTCCCCTTAGCCCTGCAAATGTATCCTCCCCAAAGATTCACCCCTTACATCTATTAAGTTCAATCGACTCACCTGCCCAATTTATCTACCAAGAGAGGAACAATCAGAAGTGATCCAAACAGGCCACCCAATGGAAACAGGGACACAGTCAGGGACCATGACACAGTGAGTAAATTTTCATTCATGGGCTGATTATTACGATCTATGTAGGTCTGGTTGTAAAAACTCTGCATGAACTGTGAGATACAAAACAAACATTCATCACATAGTTAAAAGAACATTCTACTTTATAATGACATCTTTATTCTGCGACTCTTTACATTCTATACATTACATTTCCACTTGAATATTCACTGAGAAACCAATCTTTTTTAATCTGAAGACAATTTCTTTATTAAAAGATTCTGGAAATATAGTAAGTTCCTGATCACTTGTCGCTCCGAGGGAAATTGGCTCACTGATGAGTTATAAGGGGTGGCAGGTTAGGCACATGTATAAATACGTGTGTGGAGTCCTGTAGCTCAGTGGTTAGAGCGCTCCCCTCACGAGCGGGAGACTGGGTTTTGATTCCTGGGCAGGGCGAAAGTTCGGGCAAGTTTCCTTACTCCACATGCCTCTGCTTACCTAGCAGTAAGTAGGAACCCGGATGTAAGTCGATTGGTAGATCGCTTTTCCGGTGGTAATAATCCCTTCAAAAAAAAAATTGGTCACTTTAATCCACGACTTTTTGTGGGACGCTGCTGTGCGCAATTGGCTGCCGCATTTCGCCCACAAAATATACAGTCAATTCACTTTACAGTATATTCTGTGAAGCGCTTTGAGACGTCTCAAAGACTTGATAAAGTGCTGTATCAAATGCAAATGCAAGAATGATGATGATGATGACTTAAGTAGTCGTGACAAGTTAAGCCAGGGTCGAGTTATCAGTTTACTGTATTATTATTATTCACTAATGAATAACTTTTTTTAAGAGAGGCAGAAGGAATGTATTTGTCTCTCCTGTTGCATCTGCACAGCCAGGAAACTACAGTGTAATGAACGTTAAGTATTTTAGCAACTTACCTTAGACGGAGGGTTGACAACAGCGACGTTGTACCCATACTGGAAAGAAGAGCCAAATGCAGATATAAGAGTCGCTGAAACAAGTACAACGGTCAAACCCTGCGGAGAACAATAAAAACAGGTTTCCATTTGCGAGTTAAAACTAGTCCACAGAGACCAATGTGGGCTTTTGGGACAAGGTGACATTGTAAAGTCATGGGGTGAAATAGCAACCCACGATGTTAAAATTCAGGCATCACTAGCAACACAGTGTAAAACATCCAGTCAATTCACTTTACAGAGTATTCTGTGAAGCACTTTGAAGGCTTGATAAGGTGCTGTATCAAATGCAAGGATTATTATTATTATTATTTCTGATGCATCAACATTGGTGATCAGCATGGAATAGCTAAACTCACCTTCTTAACTTCAGCGAAATGTTCGAGCACCTGTGTGATTGCCATGATTTCTTGCTGGTGTTGTGGGAAATCCAAAAAGGACTGAGATTCGGGACTTTGTACTTTGGACCCATTACCAAAAAGGCAGGACTATTACTCTTAGACCCTTTTGATAAGCGATTCCAATCCTTGTACTCATCCGATAACATTGCGTTTAAGAACAAATACTGTACCTCGGGTAAAATTTGCAGTATTTCTTAACAATATTCCTTAATATGCAATCTGAATTATACGAATAGAGGACTCCTTTGCTTAACTGGACACAATTATTTCTTCGTTAAGGAATCCCATTAAGGAATACTGCAAATTTGATCACATTAGAGGGGATGGCTTGTGTGCGCAATGAAATGTTGTGTAAGGCAGAGAAGGGCCTTTTTCAAAGTTGAGCTCAAATTTATGACAGATTAACAATTATAGTAGATTATGATTTTTGTTTTACGGACTTTATCTTTTCCTGTGTCCTGCCAGTGAACACAATCTGCCAGCAGAAATTGTTCTTAATAGCTAGGAAGGCATTTAGAAATAAATTTGCATGTTTCAGGACTGGAAAGGACAAGATGTCTTGTTCAGCCTCTAAAAGTGGTGCCAAATTGCCTGAGGATCCATTTGTAATTTGTAAAACTTGGCCTAATCTACAATCGCTTTCAAGTGTTTTTTTTCTTTTGAGTTCTGATACAGGGTCATATACAAAACACATATTTTAATATAAAAATGAGAATTTGAACGCATCGGAGTCCTGTAGCTCAGTGGTTAGAGCACTCGCCTCGCAAGTGAGAGATCTGGGTTCTATTCCCGGCAATGCAAAATGTTGTGAAAGTTTCCTTACTCCACACGCCCCTGTTTACTGAGTATTAGATAACCTGCTTGTTAGTCGTTCGGTCGATCGCTTTTCCGGGGATGATAATAATACCAAACAAAAAAAATAATAATAATTGGGTGGGGACGCTGCTGCGCGCAATTGACTGCCACGTTTCACAGTCAATTCACTTTACAGTATATTCTGTGAAGCGTTTTGAGACGTCTAGAAGACGTGAAAGGCGCTCTATCTAATGCAAGGATTATTATTATTATTACTTGATAAGTTTCCTTTGTTTGCCGCTCAAAAATGTGTTGCAGACACAGACCCAACTTTGTCCTGTGATGCGGAGCATGTATTATTTGCAGCAGATGCGGTAATTTCATTCATAAAGTGAAATATGCTATCAGTGCAGTGATTGCAGACACTGCAGTTTCAGCCCCAACTTGGATGTGATGCCTCATTGCGTGCTTATACGTTTCTCAACAATTTTGAAGCGTTTTTGGAGGCTACCGTTGCAGGCATTTTTAAAGAAATCAATACAACTGCAGTATAGCCAATGTAGCTGAAAGGCATTCATTTTACGTCTATTTTTTCCCCTTCACTTTCACTCTTTGCTTCCCCCTCCCTTTCAATTTTCGAAACTGCCTTTTTCTTCCCTGAAATATCAAGTGTTATCTATGTCATTTCTTGGCCAATGTTCCTCCCTAAATCACTGGCAAAAAACATCAATTTAACCTGACTGTGTATCTTGTTGTTTGACACGATGGGCCGAATGGCTGTCTTGTGTGCTGTAAATAAAATTGTCTTTGGCTGCCGCGTTTGCCTGCATAACAATATTTAACAGCAAACTTTTGCATTTATTTCCAGATCACTATTCCTATTTTAATTGAGTCATTAATTTGGTCCAACTTACCTCGTGATCCATATGAAAATTCCTTCCTGCTGCTGTTATTTCAAAGAAAAGTAACCTTTTCTGGTTATATTTCCTCGTCATCCAGTTTCTCCCCCCAAACAAAAATCGAACTAATTTCCTATTCACGTCATTGTTATTTGTCGGATAGTGTTGGCACAAATTAATCAGAGTTATTTCTAATTAATCTCATCCTGTTAAGTGCCTTGAGATGTTTCTTTAATGTGAAAGGAGCTATTGAAATATAAATTGCTGCCCATCCACGTGACTTAGTTATTGCTGAGAATAAATTGCTCCTGATTAACATACTATTGCAATTTAGATACCTCCTATCACCTTTAATGAGTTACCAAGGAACAAGAGAAAACAATAATGGAATCTGGAATGAGGTTTGCACAAGGTCTTCAGAGATCAAACAGAAACGGATTATTCCCACTGGTCGGTGAAACAGTGGGACTGAGTTCGCACTCCCTTCAGAGAGGGGGCTGTAAACTCAAGGGTTGTCATTCGGCGAGTTAAGAGGGAAAGATTAAGAGGAGAGTTCCTCCCTCGCCAGCGGGTTGGTGAGTTAGTTAGCAGGTCGGCACGATGGTGGAGTCCAAGTGAATGGACAATTTCGATTCGTTTTTTTTTTGAAGACCTCAATTTGTCATTTCAAATGCAGATCAGGAGACCGAACAAATGAAATAAGTTCCCCCCCCCCGAAATATTCTTTTCACTGAAGACGTGCTTCAACAGCGGCACACGGCGGGGGAGATAGGAGGTTGGCGAATATTCAAGGTTGTGCTGGGGTGGGGGTGGGAGGGGGGTGGGGGCTTGACAGCGAACGGCACTAAACCACCAACAACAACAACAACTTGGATTTATGTAGCGCCCTCCACGCCGGACGGCGTCTCAGGCCAGCGTCCGAAATTAAGGAATGAAATCTTGTGGCGGTCCGTAACGACGTCCCTTTTGGATTGATTTGACACACAAGGAGCCCCTTAGAAAACGCCGGGACTTTTAACAGCCCCCACGTCATCAGTCGAAGAGCCGCCACCACCACCACCACCACCACAACAACAATAATTCATGGCGGGGCTGGGCCGCTGAAGCGTAGTGACTGTGCGCGCGCGCGTTGTGTGGGAGCGCGAGAGGCGGCGGCGTCACCCCCCGCCCCCCCCCCCCCCCCCGTCCTCGCCACAAACAAAGCAGCCGCCGACGGACGTCACCAAATTACTGCCATTAAAATATGTCTATTTGTGTTTTGATGGGATTTAAAGGGCAGACCACGTGGTGGGTGGACCACGTGGTGGGTGGACCACGTGCACGTGCTGGGGAACCACATGGAGGGGGTTGAAGGGGAGGGGGAGGGAATGCGCATGCGCGGCGCGAGCAGGGGGCGGGGTTCGACCGACGTCACCGGAAGTCGCCGCGCGCGGGCGCTCGCTCGCTCGCCCCCTCACCGGTTGGTTCATCGGGTTCCTCGTTATCCACATGGCGGCGGCGGAAGAGCGGGACCATCACGTGCAGGAGGAGGAGGCCGGGGGTTGGTTTGGAGACCAGCGGCGGAGCCGACATCACCTGAGCCTCACGTTTCGTGGCCCACACAAGAGGGATGGCGGCGGCGGCCATCGTCGTCATCACAGCAGGGTGGGTGAGCACGTGCGGGGAGCGTCACAGGGGCGTCACGTGACCGGAAATGGCGCCGTTGCCGTCCGCGTGGCGGCGGTGGAGGAAGTGCAGGAAAAGCGCGGGAAAAGTAACCCCAACAAAATGGCGGCGGCTGCTTTTTTTGGGGGGGGGGGTAACCCACTGCGGTTCAACTGGGTTCAGTCCACAGTGATTCGAAGACCGACGTCCGTCCCTCTGAAGGTAATGGAGGGAGGGAAAAGGGGGGGGGACAGGAGAGGGAGGGAAAGGAAGGAAGGAAGGAAGGAGGGAAAGGAGAGAGGGAAAGAAAGGAGGGAGGGAGCGAAGGAGATGTTTTCAAGATCTTCGCGCTCGTCTTCAAATCTGGTCAGGCCCTGACTGACACCGACCCCCCCCCTCCCCCTCCCCGACCTGCTAACTCACCAACCCACAACCCGTCCGTCGCTTCCGCTCGACTGTCTCTCTACTCGTCCCTCGTGCCCTCCGTTCCACCGTCGGCGGTCGCGCTTTCAGCCACTGCGCCTCGAAGCTCTGCAACACTCTTATCATCTCTCACCTTTGCCCACGACCCCGCCCCCCCCCCCCCCACCACCTGCTCTCCTTCCCCATCATCAGGCCACACCTGAAGACCTTCCTCTTCGACCGTGCCCTACGGTCAGGTCACCTCCCCCCGTCCCTCCGGCTCGGCCTCAAATAAAATTAATAAAGCAAAATATACTTTATTACAGTTTCAGGACGCTGCAATGTTTCCACGTTATAAATAAAATGCTACTAAGAGCCACCTGCTCTCACCTGAAGAGTAAAAGGCAGAACATATTCACAATTTGTACCTCACAGCGATTTTGTAAACAAAAAGGTAAAAGGATTTTTTTTTAAAAAAAAATTCATGAACCTTTTAACTACATTCATTTCAGGGGGTAAAGGTAACACTCCATTGCAGTGCTGGGGTGGTATTGCACGGTCAGGAATGCCGCCTTTCGGATGAGACGTTAAATTGAGGTCCCGCCTGCCTGTTCAGGTGGAAGTTAAAGATCCCGTGACACTATTCGAAAAGAGAAGAGTTTCTCCCGGTGTCCTGGCCAATAATCCCCTAAATAAAATTGTTCATTCGGCTCATGGTAGTTTGTGGGACATTGCTGTGTGCAATTGTGGTGCTGCATTTGCCTACAAAATACACAGTCACTCCATAACTCCACATTACAGTAATTCCTGTGAAGCGCTTTGAGACATCTTTCCGTCGTGATAAGGCACTATACTAAATCCAAGGATTATTATTATTAAAATTCTGTGTCTTTTGGAAGAGGTTTCTAAACAGAATGGAATACAAGGTGAAAATTCCAACCTGTTGATGTTAAAAGAAAAATGCAGACTTTCAAATACATTTGTCTGATTGGGCCACTTATCATGGTTAGGTCTGACATCCCCGTTAGTTAGCCTTCTGGCCCTCAGGCTGGTTAGCAGAAAAGCTGATTAGCTAAAGAAACAAATAAGAGTACCATGTATCCTACTAACTCGCACAGCTGAGTTGGCAAAACTAATGGGTAACATAGCAGGTGTGGGACCAGTCACTGTAACAATATATAGTGTGTTGAGGGAGGGCTCATACGCGTGGACCAGTCAAGAAATAAAGACCTGGATTGACCATGATCCAAATTTCACACTGCGTTGTGATTTGCACCCCATCAGGAAAGAAACAGCTGCACCATTTATAGAAGGCACTACGTGTAGCAATACATTACAGAACACACATCTTAGAAACATCCGCCTCCCTCCGTCCCCGACTTTGGCTGTAAAAGGATGTTCATTTAAATTGCTCTCCAGGTGGTACAGCAGAAAGCGGGATGGGATCAAAATCGCTGAAACTCCCTTATCTTCACTTTATACCAGAACCAACCACTCAATAAAACAAGTTTCGATTACCAAACAAAAAACAAAGTTCAAGAACTGCTGCTTCAGGCACGTTCATATCACTTGACACTGGTTTGAAGCTGTCTCTCTGTGGTTCAAGGACTAGTTATTCTTCAGTTACAAAGGGTGAAGGCAGTGAGGTGCTCGCCTGACGGCTGGTGATCTTAGACTCGCTTTCCATGCTCTTGTCATCCTCGTTCCTGCAGAAGCTGCACAGAGAGGAGATCAGGCGCAGGCGAATGGGCTTGGTGCAAAGTATGAACATGATACAGTTTGCAGCTCCTTGGAAGGTGTTTCCGACTCCCTGTGAAGTTACAGCAAAAAAATTAAACATCAATAAGCTAACTGCAGAAAGGATGTTAGCCTGAAGTAATAAAGCGTTTATCTGCCCCAGATCTTTGCACTGCACTAATCCCTTGTGCCATTTCAGCAGCAACTTGCATTTATTTAACACCCTTCGCATGAAAGAAATGTATTGGGGCATGTTACAGAATGAGAGAAAATTAGAGATGAACATATTATGAAGGCCAACATGGCAGCTAACTTGCAAACAGCAATGATTGGTCAAAATTATTAGAATTTGGAAATCAATTTGAATGAGGAGGGAATAATAAGCGTAAAGTATTACAAACTGAGCCAAGCTGACAACATCGAACATCATAATGCCTAAGAACTGATGAACCTGTGGGTTACCCTGAAACGGTGGCAGAAATGCAGGCAATAGACATTCAAGAACTTGAGGGAGAGTAGAAAAAGTTATAAACACAAAATAGACACTGTACAATAATATTTATTTCCCTGCCAAAACATGGCTATTAGAGCTCGTGTTTTCCTGTAAATAGCCAAAGCTAACACAAAATAACAAACTAACATTTATTGTTTGTAAACACAAGAAAGCCTTGTGCTTATCTATTAAGCACACTTTGTTTCCATTCCTTTCTGTGAGCAGTAACTCTCTAAAGTATCTAAAATTAGACACGACTGATACTTCACCATAACTGAAGGTGCATTCAAACAAACAACATGTGGTGAAATATAACCTTGGGCAAATGGATTGAGTGAGTGTCTTGCACTGGCTGCTAGATACTACTCATTCACGAGTGGGTGAGTTCCCATCAATAATGATAATGATCCTTGCATTTGATACAGCGCCTTATCGGGTCTTTCAGACGTCTCAAAGGGCTTCACAGAATATACTGTAAAGTGAATTGGCTATATTTTGTGGGTGAAACGCAGCAGACAATTGCGCACAGCAGTGTCCTACACAGTCGTGGATTGAGTGACCAATTATATATATTTTTAAAAGAAATTATTATAAGTGATTCGCCAATCGATTAACAACCTGGTTCCCACTGTGGAGTAAGGAAACTTGCACAACGTTTCGCCCTGCCTGGGAATCGAACCCAGGTCTCTCGCTTGCAAGGTGTGTGCTCTAACTACTGAGCTACAGATCTGTTTTCTTGCGTCTTTTCCCATTCCAATTGGTAAAATCAGTGTACTCACGTGTAGCGTCACCAGCAATCTATTCTCCACGACAGGAGAGCCACACAAGGTCAGGATGAACCTCACAGTACTCCATATCCGCAGCAAGATGAATATGATGGGGATGAGGGTGAGCTTAAGGTCTGCGCTTGAAGATCTGCTGTGGTAGCTGGAACTGCTGGATAAGATGGGGCGATACTCCGATAAAGCTTCGTGCTGGATGAGAAAAAATATTCACACAATTATACAATCAAATGATTTTTTTCAGCACGTTAGCGGGCCATTCAGTCCGAGGTGTCTGTGCCTGAAAGATCTCTGTTTAGTTCCACCCCCCTTTCACCCTCCCTCGCATCTTATATTTTATTTTCCCAACTATTCAGATTGCTTTGAAAAGCCATTCTGCTTCCCACGGTCAAGAGAGATCTCGAATGGCACATGATGTCAACCATGTGGGAACTCTACTCTTCATTAAGTGTGTTCCCATGGGTTAGTTAGCACAACTACTTATAAGCAAGCCCAGCAAGCAAATTAATAATAATAATAATAATAATCCTTGCATTTGATATAGCGCTTTTCACGTCGGGAGGACGTCCCAAAGCGCTTCACAGAATATACTGTAAAGTGAATTGACTGTATATTTGTGGGCGAACGCGGCAGCCAATTGCGCACAGCAATGTCCCACAAACAGTCGTAGATTGAAAATGACCAATTTATTATTGTTTTGGGTTTTGGAGGGATTATTATTAGGCGTGTGGAGTAAGGAAACTTGCCCAAGGTTTCGCCCTTCCTGGAATTGAACTCAGGTCTCTCGCTTGCAAAGCGAGTGCTCTAACCACTGAGCTACAGGACTCCACAGGTAACACCAATAATCCTTGCACTTGACATGCACAAACAGCCATGAAGTGAACGACTGATGCATCTGGAGGATTGTTGGCCAGGACACCTGGATCAACACCCTTCTCTTTCAAGGCCTTTGAGACGTCTCGAAGACGTGATAAGACGCTATATCAAATGTAAGTATTATTATTATTAAATATCCACTTGAACAGACAGGAAACAGCTTGTCTCATGGAACGCTCCTGTGACACTGACTTGTATGAGCTCAACCTCGTCAATCACAATAGGCCTTGATCACGAGAGATTTTCCCTTACCGCTCGGTTGATGTGTTTCTTAATGCGGATGTATAGAATTGGCAGGGTGATGTAGGCAATGAACTCCCAGATTTTGCCTGTCAGCAACATCCACAAGAAGTGGTCTTCTGCCAGGATACTGACCCAACACCAGCCCACGGACACATCGGATGCATCGTAACCTATCTTCCTCAGGCTGACGGCAGCAACAGTGATGACGAGAGGCACCGACCAACTGCCAACACACAAAAAGGTTGACGTTCATCAGTTATTTGGGTTGACAAAATAGTTTTTCTAGCAAAGTGATGGCATTGCTGGTGTCTGGCTAATAGAACAAGTTTGGCGATTTGCCTTTCCTGCAGGGAATCCCACTGAGTCACACAAACTCGATTGACCCTGACTTCAAAGGGGATTCTCAGGATGGAGCTGAGGTTGGCACAGTGTGTGTGGGAAGAGGTTGTGAAATTTCCCTGCAGGCCCTGTCAACCCATCCCCCACCATATCACTGCCTTCAGAGAGAGAGGCAATGACGGAGCAGAAAAGTTTCATCTGAGCAATTCCAACTGTCCACAGCTATCTTTGATTGATACGGCTCATTAAGCCTGCGCTGGTGTTTTTCTTCACACTAACCGAACCCACTCCCCCATATCCTTTAATATTTATTCAATTATTCATGTGTAGAAACCCTTCACACTGGGAATCCAAACAAGACTGGAGTTTCGCACAAATGTCACCTATGCATGGAAGTTTCGAGTTGTCTGAAATGGAATGCGCACTCTCAACAACAACAACAACTTGGATTTATATAGCGCCCTCCACGCCGGACGGCGTCTCAGAGCGCTTTACTCTCCTCAGAGGGAAACACCTTGCTTACATAAGACCAGCTAAAACCAAATAGCTTCCCATTGAGAGCACTGTCTGACGAGCTACTTTTTGCTTGTCCAACTTGGCCCACCCTCGCTGTTAGGGCTTTTGCTTACAGGACCGACAGGAGCTGAGTGGGAAGAGTCATTAGTTCCAGTGACCTAACTAGTTGGCCTGTCATTAGCAAAGCCTTGGTGTCCTGCAGACCTGCCTTAGCTCAGGAACCGCGACTACTGAAGATTGATATTCCATAGCCAGGCATCCCCAGCCCCTAGGATAGTCACAAATTGGTCATCAGACACCTCGACAAGTGCAGGTTCGAATCCTGGCTAGGGTGAACGGCCTTCACACCCTTCCTGTGAACGCTTATACAGTTTCGCCCACAAAATGTACAGTCAATTCACTTTACACTGTATCCTGTGAAGCGCTTTGAGACATCTCGAAGACGTGATAAGGCGCTGTATCAAATGCGAGGATTATTATTGCGACGTGGGGTTAAATGAAAGTAAAAACGTAGCGACACAAACGGCGGCAAGACGACTCGTACGTAACAACACTCGGGTCAAAAAGCAAGCGTCGCTTCTTAAAAGAAAGCTTACCTAACGGCGTGGAACAACACACACAAGCTCCCGGCCAGGTGCTGGTCAGACCTCACAATGATGATGTACAAGTAAATGGCGATGGCCACAGTCCAGAAAAAGGAGCTGGTGTTGGCGAAGGTGGACAAGGCGCCTTGCAAGACGCAGTCCCAAGAGGAGCTGTCAAAGTCCCTCAACACCCCGTACAGATAGGACACCGCCGAGAGCAAGTCAGCCACCGAGAGATAAACGAGTAGCTGCCGAGGTTTGGTCCTTAAATCAGGCCACAGACCGTGAGTGGCGATGATCAGGGTCGAGCCCAGGAACGAGCAGCAGCAAGAAATGGATATGATCACCTTCTCGTACAAGTAGACCTCGGTCTCTGGGACTGGCATGACGATTGCAATCTTCTTTCACCCCCCCTCCCCTCCCCACCCCACCCCCCCGCCTTAAAGTAAAATGATGAGAGAAAAAAAATAACACACAATTCTCAAGAGCACATTTAACTAAGTAGATTCTCCAAATCTAACTCTCTTAACTCTCTCTCTCTGTTCTTAACTCACTCTCTCTGTCTCTTCTCTTAACTCTCTCTCTCTCCTCTATGTTCTCTTAATTCTGTCTCTTCTCTTAACTCTCTCTCTCTCCTTCTCTATGTTCTCTTAACTCTGTCTCTTCTCTTAACTCTCTCTCTCTCTCCTTCTCTATGTTCTCTTAACTCTGTCTCTGTCTCTTAAAAAAAAAGACTGCGACTCAGGCACTTTGATTTAAAATGGGGAACCGAGACACAAAGTTCGAAACGCAGAAACAAATTTGAAAGTAGGAGGAAAGGGAAGGGAGTTGGGGGGGAGGGGAGGAGGGGGGGGGGGGGGGGGGAGAGGGGAGGGGTTGGAAACAACAACAACAAAATTACATTTGCAGAGCGCCTTTCAGGTCGGGAGGAAACATTCACCCTCCAAATTCCTTAGAAGATCAACAACGCTTTGGGGGGGGGGGGGGGGGGGGGGGAGGGGGGGTGTGGAAATAAATTACAAAACGCAGCAAGTTTCTGGCTAAGTCTCTGGGGTTTAAAAAACTTTTTTTAATTTAAAAAAATAGAGAAAACTTAAAACAAACCCACCAGCTGTCCTGACCACAAAAACAGAAGGTAGTCTCCTCTCGCTCTCTCTCTGTAACTTCTTTTTTTTGTGTGAGTGTGTGAGTGAGTGTGAGTGTGTGTGAGTGTGTGTGAGAGTGAGTGTGTGTGAGTGTATGTGTGAGTGAGAGTGAGTGTGTGTGAGTGAGAGTGTGTGAGAGAGTCAGTGAGTGAGTGTGTTTGTGAGAGTGAATGAGTGTGTGTGAGTGAGAGTGTGTGAGAGAGTCAGTGAGTGTGTGAGAGTGAGTGTGTTTGTGAGAGTGAGTGTGAGTGTGTGTTTGTGTTGACCCTAAAGTTCTGAAGAAACCCTCCAAACTTTGCTCAATGACTTACTTGTTCAGAGACCAAATAGGGGCGCAGTTCGAGACGCCACAATCTTATATTCTTCTTCTTATTATTACTTATTGCACATAGAAGTCGGGGAATTCTTGTCAAAGCGCTGTCGTGCAAATTATCGGAGGGGAGGGAGGGAAAGAGAGAGAGAGAGAGAGAGAGAGAGGAAGGAAAGAAAGAGAAAGAGGGAGGAGGTGGAGGGGGGAAAAGGGGGAACGTAAGACTCGATACATCGTTGCACTGACACCGCGAATGTAACCAATTCTTTGGGGGAAACGAAACCCTTCTCTGGTCGTAATGGGGAGTGTTACAAAGTCGCACCTCTCCCCCTCTCTGTCTCTCCCCCCCCCTTCCCCCCCACCCCCTAAAAGGAAACATGTATCCCCCGGGTTCCCCCCCTCCCTCCCCCCACCCCCCCCCCCAGGGCAAAATCTCAGCTCCTTTCTTCGTCGCTGCGACGCGACTCCTCTCCCTCCCTTCGCCCCCTTTTCTCTTTTCTCCCCTCTTTTCCCCTCCCTCCCCCTCTTTTCCTCTCTCCTCTCTTTCTCTCCCCCCTTCCCTCCCTCTTCTCTTCTCTCTTTTCCTCTCCTTTCTTTCTCTCCCCTCTTTCCCCCTCTTTTTCTTTTCTTTTCCCCCTTCCCCCTTCTTTTTCTTTTCCTCTCTCCTCTCTTTCTCCCCCCTCTTTTCCGGGATGGCTGGTTGGCTCTTTTTGGCACAATCCCGGTACCGGACCCGGAACAATAAAGAACAAAAAAAAGTTCTTTCTTTGTTCATTTTTTTTAAAAAAATGTTAAAATGTACAGAAATTTGTATTTTCCATCCTTACCGCTGAAAAAATCTTTACTGGTCGGCATCTCCCTCTCTTATCTCTCTCTCTATAATAAATAACTAATAATAATTTGGTCACTCAATCCACGACTGTCTGTGGGACGCTGCTGTGCGCAATTGGCTGCCTTTGTTTTCGCCCCCAAAATACAGTCAAGTCAATCCATTCGAGACGTCTCGAAGATATTAATAATAATAATAATCCTTGCATTTGATATACCGCTTTTCACGTCTTCGAGACGTCCCAAAGCGCTTCACAGAACACACTGTAAAGTGAATTGACTGTATATTCGTGGGCGAACGCGGCAGCCAATTGCGCACAGCAATGTCCCACAAACAGTCATAGATTGAAAATGACCAATTTATTATTGTTTTTTTTGGTTTTGGAGGGATTATTATTAGGCTCTGTGTGGAGTAAGGAAATGGGAGGATTATTGTTGTTATTATTTTATTTATTACTGCTACTGTTCCGAAGTTTGAGTTCCGGAACCGGTGTTTCTGCCACAACATGGGAAACAACAACTTGCATTTTATTTCACGCCCCTTTACGGTGGGGTAGAGTCTTCAAGGGCTTGAAGTCGCTTATGCTGACGGGATTTAAAGCTGGACGGTTGTGGCGCTGACCGAAATGCAACAAATCAACAAATCCAGAGAGACATCACCCTCACATTCCAGGCTTTAATAATAATAATAATCCTTGCATTTGATATAGCGCTTTTCACGTCGGGAGAACGTCCCAAAGCGCTTCACAGAACACTGTAAAGTGAATTGACTGTATATTTGTGGGCGAACGCGGCAGCCAATTGCGCACAGCAATGTCCCACAAACAGTCGTAGATTGAAAATGACCAATTTATTATTGTTTTTTTTTGTTTTTTTGGAGGGATTATTATTAGGCTCTGTGTGGAGTACGGAAACTTGCCCGAGGTTTCGCCCTCTGCCTGGAATTGAACTCAGGTCTCTCACTTGCAAAGTGAGTGCTCTAACCACTGAGCTACAGGACTCCAGAAAATACATGGAAAAATGCGATATTTCATAACCCACTTCAACAACAAACTGATTCTTGCACGAGTCCAGTGCTCTCGCCTCTACTACTCTTCCTCTTCATTAATTATCCTCTGTGCAGGTGTGGGTGAATGAGAGAGAGAGAGAGAGAGAGAGTGAGGTGGCCGGGGAATAGTGACGCCAAATCACTAAATTTGTTATAAAACACCACATTGTTGAAGGAAGCGTACAGGACCTTGCTGCATTATTCGCCCACAAAACAGTCAACTCACTTTACAGTGTATTCTGTGAGGTGCTTTGAGACGTCCAGGAGACGTGATAAGGCGCTACATCAAATGCGAGGATTGTTATTATTATATTGTTCATTCGGAGCAGAAGGAAACTGCCCGAATACTTTCCCAATCAGACTATCAGGAATATGACTGACCTGCAGAGGGTGATATGGAACTGCTGATTCCCATATAATTCCAGCTCAGACGGTGAGAGAGAGAGACTGCACAGCCAAGATTTCCCCTATTGGGGGCACTACTTATCATTAATGAGCAGGTCATGCGAGGTGCAAAGAGGACCTTTGGCCCATTTGATCTCAACCTTCCGGGACACCTACCCTACCCACCTCCTAGCTCTGGGACGCTACTCTGCGTGAGAGGCGCTACATGAATGCAATTTGTTGTTGTTATCGCACAATCAAGTTGAGCTTCCTGACCTCAAACACTCTTTCTGGTAACCCAATTGCAGTTCTTTCTGGATGTTGTGTTTGTCCTGAAATTGCCCGTTCGCCACCCTTAAACCGACCGGTGCCCTCATCCCACCCGCTGCCGGGGAGTATATGAGTAATGTTTTTTTCAGTTTCCTTTCTCCATCCCATTTAGTTTGTTGCAGAAACATAGAAACAGGAGGAGGCCATTCAGCCCCTCGAGCCTGTTCTGCCATTCTACAAGATTGTGGCTGATCTGTACCTCAACTCCAATTACCCGCTCTTACCCCATATCCTTTGTACACCGGTATAAGGCCCTCCTGACATGAAAGGCGCAATACAAATGTAATTTGTTGTCTCTTATCGAGACTGAAAAGCCTGGGTTTACTCGGTCGCTTAGAAGAATGGGATGTCTTGCTTTTTTTTGCACATTTGCCCTTTTTTCTTACCTCTTTAAATGGTGGTAGTGACTCCGAATGTCTCTCTATCTGCTGCAGGAGGTTGTAGATACAGAATCGGTTGTGATATTTCAAAACGGAGGACTAATAAGATACCTGGGAAGCAAGAGTGTTAAGGAGGGAGGTGAAAAGATAGGGAAATGGGATTGAAAGATCTCTGCCATGATATAATAAAATGGTGGAACTGAATGGCCTCCTATTCCTACGTTCTCGTTGGGTGTGTGTGTGTGTGTGGGTATTAGGATAGGAAGGTCTCTCGATGCTAATTATAGCTATGTTTGGCAGCTCCAGTGTTTAGTGATTTATATGCCGTAAGGCTGAGTGTAATTGCTTTGCTGCAGAAGCGACCCGAGGTGTGCGGCTGCTCTGTACTGTTTGTCATATAAATCGTTTTATTTGCACGCCTGTATGTATTTTTCTTTCTGCAGCCCAAGCCTATTATATCCCCTTCCCCTGCCTCAAACGGCATTTCTTTTGGTCAGCGCTTATTTAGCCATTAATTAGCAACTCCTCTGGTTTAAACCGCATTGAAAGAACCGTTTGCTCGCCCTGTGTGTGTGTGTGTGTGTGGAGTGATGGTGGGAGAATTCCCATTAAGATTCTTTCACAGTCCCTATAAATGGTCATCACTTGCTTGCGATCTCCTTTGCCCGTATGCCATGACACATCTCGCATAAACGAGGCAGGTGGCATTCCAAATGATATTCCCATAGTTTTAACGGAGGTCAATTTAATGACAGTCTCGATATTCAGCAGATCATCTGTGCCAGGAAATGCTGTAGAATTCCACCCCCCACCCCCCCCCACCACACACACACACACACACACACACACAAAGAGCAACAACATTCTTAACAGTAATGTTCGCGATACCAGCGTGAACAACAAGTTACATTCGCATAGTGCTTTTCAGGTCGGAAAGACGTCCCATGTGGATTGTAGTGATAAGACTGCCCGTTAGCCGGTCTTTGTTAATGAATAAGCACTCAACAGCAC